TGAAAGAAGAAATAGCAATTATAGTTATAATTTTTATTTTTTAAGCATGTAACTGCTCGATGTTTAAATCTAAAGAAAATATTAGCTTAAAGCTTTCAACAATTGGCAACAATCACAATGGACGGGAAAATCCTCGAATTCTCCCTGAGAATCCACCATTCGCTTATGTTTGTTTGAAGTATATCGAACAGAATTCAATGAATGTTTTTTAAAGCAATCTGTGTGAAATCAGACATAATATAGTACCTTAATAAAACATTTATTTTTCTAATTTTGTTTCCTTATAAAAAAAAATTGAAAAAAAACCACTGTCCTGAGTTTTTTGGTGTTTTTTTTTAACATAGTGCAAAGAACACTTCTAACTATATACCTACTTTAATGTTTATAAAAAACGTAACGTCAAGATATAAAAAATTGTGTTCAAACTACACATACCTAGAATCAGAGTAGTTGAATGTTTTCTTTCCATGATTCAGAGGGCATCACCCTCAAAAAGTCCTCCAAGAACTGTTGTTTTCTTAAAAGACTCTAACGAAAGACAATTAAAATTCTCTTAATTACGTATTATTATAATACGTCTAAGATAACTGTTCGCATTGTCTTATGATAATTATCAACGCAGATTCAGAGAGTTAACCTAATTAGTTGTTTTTGTCGAGTGCAAAAAACTTATTAAGTGGACGAACTAAGGTGAAATTAAACATACCTAAGATTAAAATCTTACTGCTGAGATAAGATGACATCGAATATAATGTTATTGCGTTATTTTTCCCTGTTCTGGTTCCCTTGTTTAATGGTTCTTCGCGTCTCTTAAAGGACCCAAGTTGTAGAAATGTTTTAAATTGGGATGTTTTAATGATTTTAATTGGGATGGCTCCAGGCGTGGCATTCACTGACATGAACTGCGAAGTCGATCGGTCCATAAGGTCGCGAATCTAAGCACCTGCAGGAAGACAGTCATCCAGGCACAGAACAAGAAAAGAAAGCAGCTTGGAGAGAATACTTTTGTGCCAGACCCTGTCGAAATCCTTGGCGATATCAAGGCTGCTAGCCAAGCACCCAGCTTGTTAATAGACTCACCCCAGATGTCTGTCACTTACGCTCATAGTTTTAGCCTAAATTAGTATTGACGTTAAGCAGAGAGTGGTCCTCTAAGTACGGGGACTGTGAAATCATGTTTGGTAATATCTATTTATTGGATAGATCTTAGCTTAGGAATAAAAGAAACAGGCGGCCTGGCTGATGCGATTTTGCCCACTTCTGTATTAGTCCACGCTACGCCAGTGTCCGCAGCATCCACTTATCCTTCCTATTCCGAATTTAAAAATATATTTGAATTGGATGGTTCAAAAAATCTTATAATTTAATTTCAATATATTTCGTCTTGAATCCAGATAGATCACTAACGGAAGTTAAACCATAGGAATAGTTACCCACAGAACACAGAAACCTCTTTCTGTGTTGTTATCGATTTACATGGAGAGACTTGTATCACAAAATGTGCTTGTATGTTAAGCTATATAGGCAAAGGTTCTCATCGCTAAAAGCAATGTAGTTGTTACCTTGAACTAAAAGAAGGCTTTGTAAAGCTTAACATCAACAAGCTAGCTGCCAAAGTGCAGCTAGCAACGGGATGGGTGCAAAAAACGCGCTCCAAATGCGCCGCTGGTAAGTACTAAGTAGGTAATTGACCCAGATCGGGCGTGTGACGTGACGTCACTGTGGGGACGCGCGAAGGAGAAAGTCAATCCACTCTCCACTCGATCCGATCCCCATCCCATTGTGACTAGAAAAGGGACTTCGCAGGCATTCAATTATCTCAAGCTTGTATAGGCTCAATGCTATCTACAATTGGTTACATAATTGAATTTGGTATTACGGAAAAAGACGTACAGTCAACAAGCTTTAATTTGGTTTCCATTTCATTAAAATGTGGTTTGAACATTCACATTGCGATAACAATAAGGTCGCAATCTCCAAACGTATATAGCGTTGAATTAAACTTCAAGTTAAAATCATTGTTTTTTTTTTGTAAAGAAAAAGCCTTTACTTTACAAAAGTAGCTTATGTAATTTTTTTTATGAAATAGACCTAACAGTTTGCTAACAGTGCCACAATATGAAAACAGGCCTGAAGTTCCAACATGGTCAGCTATTGAATATCCAAACCAAACCAACCGAATTTATTGACATTTTAATATTAATTTACATCCTTTCTAAGGGTCTCAGTGTCGCCATCTTTTATGGAATCTTTATCCAAATTTTCACAAAGTAATTATGACTTTATTCCTATATTTTTTTATAAATTATATCAATTAACATTATCAGAAAGAACAGTGGGCAAGTTAAATAGTAAGTGGATTGATCGGGAATTTCCGTACACTTCTCGGGTCCTCAAGGTTGGCGAGTAAACTAAGAAGTTGTCTCTACTGACATATTAAAAACAGTGCTTAATATTCAAGCAGTTACATGCTTATAAAATAAAAATTATAAGTGCTTAATATGTTGTCATAGCAGCGTGCTAACGATCAAGTGAATTGAGCGATTAGGTGAATCCCAAACTAAAGACTGACTTAGATTTTTATAGATAAACTAGCTGTGCCGCGACTTCGATCGCGTGGATGTCGGAAAATAACCTTACCCCACACTTGTTGGATATGATTAGTATGAATACTGTAAGCCGAAACTATTACACTTGAATTTGTAAAAGCTAGATTACTAGATAAAGAGTTGAAATAAAACAAGTGGAATTAAAGAAGAGAAAAGATCAGTTATATTTATTTAAAGCGATAATCTGTTACAAATGTAATAAAAAAAGTCACAAGGATAACGAGTGCAAAAGTAATAATAACAGTAATTTTAACATACAGCGAGGAAAGTTTTGAGGAAATTATAGAGTAAATAATATTTGATGAAACAAAGAAAGTTTTCTCACATTTGTCGCATTGAATTCAGATATCAGTACAGAATAATAATAGAGGAGCTGCACGCATGCTAGGACAAACACTTAATAAGAACTGATTTAGAGATAGATATGACAAACATAAAAGTTTTAGAGAAACCTACAAAAATAGTTGTCGCAAACAGCAAGTGCATGATGGCATATAAAATTTGTGTCTTATTAGGTAAAATAAACGGAATAGAGATAAACATTGAAGGTGGATTGATTATTGAAGAATTAAAATTTAACTTATTATCAGTGTCAAAAATAATAAATAAAGGATTTGAAATTAAAATAAAAAAAGAGGTATAATACTATTAATTTTAAAGTATACATAATAGCCATACAGTATGAAAATACTTGGCCTACCAGTTAGGAAAAATGTATAGAAGGTAAAGCGTGCAGATTGCCATTTTCAATAATTATAATACAAGTAAAAGAATTGGTGTTATTAAATACAGACATATCAGGACCTATAAAAGATGAAACACCAGAAGGATATAGATATTTCCAGGTAATCATTGATGTCTATTCGCATTTTACTCAAGTATATTTTCTCAAAAGGAAAAACTAAGCCGAGTTAAACTTAATTTATTACGTCAAAGAATTAAAAAGTATACTTAACGATAAAACAAAAGCTGTAAGAACAAACTTTGGCAGGGAATTCATTTCAGATAGATTTAAAAGTTATTGTAAAAATAAAGGAATTGAATTAGACTCTGTGCGGAAAGAAAATGGGCGTGGCGAAAAACGGAACTAACATTAAGGTTTTTATTTGGCAATCAAACCTAGCAATCTGTAAAACGTCTAAGTTTTGTATTGATACGGATTTGTTTGTTGTTGTGATTTCTTGCGGCGTTTTGTATTTAATCATGTCTAAAAGGGGTAAAACCTTACAAATACGGTAGAAAATCACTACAGCGCCCTCCAATCTAAATCCCATTCTCTTTCCGCACAGACTCTAGGCTCCTACAATATACTATGGCAAATACTACGCAGCAAAACGGAAAATCTGAGCGGATGAACAAAACTTTAATGAATAAAGTTAGAACAACGTTATTGGATTATTTTTTATGGGCTGAAGCAATAAAAGCCTCAGTTTATGAGTTGAATAGATCTCCAACAGTTGCATTGAATGAAAAACACCATCCGATATTTGGTTTGGTAAAAATGAAATATCAAAACTTAGAGTGTTTGGTAACAGTAAATGTTGGTCAGTAAATCTAAAAAGAACAAGTAAATGAGATCCAAATGCACAATCATAAAATGTATTTGTGGGATATGATCTAGGAGGATACAGAGTGTGGTGTCCAAATGAAAATAAATTAATACGATCAAGAGATGTAATATTGGATGAAAGTAAATAAGGAGTGTTGGACTTGATTTGTATGAATACTATAAGCCAATGCTATAAACAACTAAGCCATAGCTGTTATTAAAAATAAAAATCTGTGGTCGCTCTCTCTTCTCTCTGGTCTGTGCTCGCAATGTTACGCTGTTACTCTAATGTGATTAAATAATAAATAATAAGTTACACTCCTGATTCCAATAATAAATAAACGATATATCCAAAACGCATTGTTTTAATATCCCCTAGGGGTATAAAAAATAGCCTACGAACAGACTATGGGTATCTGTACTGTTAAAATTACAGATACAGTGTGGCAATACGCAGCCGGGCGGGTCGATTTTCAATATTGTGATGTATCAAAAGACACATATAGTTTTTTTATAATTAACCGCACCGCAACCGCACAAAGAATGCTTTGCGCACGCGACTGAACGGCATTGTGCTACCGCTGCGGCGCTGGGTTCGTTACAGGTGGGCGAGTGTAAACCGATCCTAAACGCAAACCGCGTGCACTATGAGTAAACCGCAGACACTTGACTCCATCGCAATAATAGTTCCGACTTTCTACCTGCTCATGTTTTGAGATTGAAACTCTCGGTTGAAGTTAGGCTCCCAATTTATTTATAGTAAATGTCTATCGTCGCTTTAGCTACTGAATCTATAATGCTTTATTAGAAATTAGTAAGAAACAGAATACACCAGCTATTGCATGTACGAGGCGTATCCAGAAAGTAAGTGTACTGATACTCTCACGACCGAATGAATTTTATTTTCGACATGTTGGCTACACTTACGTGTAGCCTGACTCTTCCCCTCCGCAAAGAGACCAGTTCAAGCTCAGTGCGTTGAGAAGTGTCTACGCAACAGCAGTTTTCGTGGAAAATGTCAATCCCATCTCCCACCAAGTGCGAAATACGCGGCGGCATCCGTTATCTCGTTTGGAAGTAAAAACCTCCGGTTGAGGTTTATAATGAGGTGAAAACTGCATATGGTTGTATGAGCTATGAATCGTACGATTTTAAAAACGGTCGTACGTCTGTGCATGATCAGAGAAGAGGAAACCTGACGAAATAGTGGAAAAAATTGAAAAAACACTCCGTGACGTTCGCAGATTGTCTGTGGTTGAACATTCTGCGATGTTTCCGCAAATTTCCAGATCTCTACTACACGAAACCATCACAGAATCCCTCCGATATCGGAAACTTTCCGAGAGGTGGGTCCAAAACAGCTGACAGACCAACACAAGTTGAATCGAGTGAAATCCGGACAAGAGTTTTTGCGGCGCTGCAAACTCTATGGAGATGAATTCTTTCAGATTATTATCTCTCTACCTCCCTGAAGCTGCACATGGGAGGGAAAAGGTTTTCAACCGACGAGGAGGTAAAGCAGGAGGTAGAGAAGTGGACGAAGGTGTTGGCGAGAAACAACTTCGAGGAAGGCATCAAAAAGTTGATACCCCGCTTCACCACCTGTGTCGAAAAATAGCTTACATATGTACTACTGTAACCATGAAATTTTATTGTTTCAATACAAAAATTTGTAGCCTACAAAAATTCAGTACACTTACATTTTGGATATGCCTGGTAGTAGCACTATATCTTTTGTAAAGAACAGTGGTGATCAAAAGATATCAGGATGGCATGTAGTTGGGCTTTTTATGTTTTGATTAAAAAAAAATTCAAAAATTCAATATCGTTTATTCAGTCTAGGCTGTTGCAAGCACTTGTGAATGTCGAACAGCTACGCCATCGGTTCGCAAATCTACGGCGGGAGACCTTGTACTGAGAAGAACCGACAAGAAACTCAGAAAGGCCTGTTTTTTCTCCCTGTGTTATATACAGAGTCGTGAAATTGAAAAATGACTTCAATATGAGGTAACTCATAAAGTCACTTTCCATTACAAACAAAAAAAATGCAAATAATATAAAAATTATGTCTATAAAATAAAAAATAAAATATATATAAAAAACTGGTTTAACAAAGTTTAGGAATGACGTGCCCTACCGTTTCGGCAAAAAAATAATAATAATGAACGATTAAAGTTTAGTACAACGATTTATAGCACCCAGTGAATTAAGAGCAGACTCATCTCCGCTGGCAGCACCCGTTCACGAGCATGACGCATGAACCAGCCATCGCTACGCTGAACCATTTTTTAGGGAACGCAACGACCCGCCTCACACGACACCACCGAAGAGATTTTCAAGAGAGCATGACTACTACTCATAAACACACATATCTATGTGTGTGTTTACATAGTAGATACTATGTTACAAAAATAGAAAAAAAAATATATAAGTACCAGTGTACATTATTATAACAAACTATAAACACAACGGCGGCAGGACACATGCATGTGATTACTTAAACACTGTTGTCGATTCTGGCACTACTCTCCCAACCCAAAACCAAATCCAACATCAGTCCCCCTTTTCAGTCTGTATAGAGAATGACAAGGATACACCGCTGCAAAACCAAGTTCAGGTCTAGAAAACCATACCAGAACCCACACCGCCATTAAATCTTTATCAGAGAAATAATAAATGTTCACTTACATTTTGATTGCTGTGTCATACAGTATAAATACAAGTTGTGTAATGTAAAATAGAATCTAAATTTAATAATAATTATCATTAAAATAACAAAGTAGTATAGAGCAGACTCATCTCCGCTGGCAGCACCCGTTCACGAGCATGACGCATGAACCAGCCATCGCTTTGCTCAACCATATTTTAGGGAACGCAACGATTATAATATAAACCTTTTGTAAATTTTGTGTAAAACCTCAAACTACACTGAACTGACTTTTGAAAAGCCTAAAGGCAGACCCAATATGTACAACCATAGGTAGACCGCTTAACTGAGTCGTCGCCTGCGGGGTAAAGGATGTGGGGAGGACGAAAACGGGGACCGTGAGAGGTGCGGGCAGGCACATTCTTGTCAAAATTACAAGTGCCCACCACCCACACCTCTCACGGCCCCCGTTCCCCCACACCCTGTACTAGTGTTGAGTAGGACTTACAAGAGGCGGTACATTTGTCCCGGACATGACGCTAAATTGTAAGAGCGGCTCAAAATTTTAAAATGTACTACTTCACATTAAATGTCGCGATAGTCGCGTCTCATTACTCACTCACTCTTCGTAAGTCTGAGAGAGAGAGCGAGGCGCGACATTTCATTTAAGTCCTTTACGCACTATCCATCTGTATCTCTATCTGTTTTACGTGTATAGCGCTGTCCTGCATGCTGGATCCAGCAAGATTGATAGTGCGTAGAGGAGGAGCTACTCGTGCACACAAACGTAATGTCGAGCTTCTGTACGCCTCAATGTCATATTTGTACTCGTCACTTCAAATGTATTGCCGAGCTTCAGTACGCCTCGCCTCATTTGAAGTGGGACATTGTACTGGTTCAGTACAAAAAAGAGGCTACTCTTACAAACTCTTTTTCAAGTCGTGTCCTACCCAACACTACCCTGTACCCCGCAGGCGAGGTCTCAGTTAAGCGGTTTATCTATAACTTGCTTGTTTTGTATACCTAAAGGAAGCCAAAAGGGCACATATTAACAGATCCCATTTATAGAACCAATTATCTAAGCACTCTTAATAATTGTACTTTAAAAATAACTTTACAGATGACTGGTTAATAATGTGAATGTTTGGTTGGTTTTACGCTGTCATAGCTCCGCATTTGTTATCGTTATGAAACCTACACGAACACAATTGTGCGTATTGTTAATATTAATGGTCGTATTGTATGTTCCGTTCATTTGACATATCTGTTATATGCACACACATATGTGATGACCCAAGCGAGCGGCACAATGCAACTATTGCATTGCAAGTAAAGTAGGTTACGTTTGAATGCATGTTAATCCTGTATTACGGCCATGAGTGACGAGGAAGTAGCAAGCGGCTAACAAGCCAAGGATGGCAAACAAGTTACAAATCGTATTATTCTGTGATTAGACGCTTCTTCGAGAATCAATAGATACACTTAACCTAAAGAAGGCAAGACTTGATTACGAATAACAGCCAAATGCGATTTATTTCCCAAAATGTGAATCGCACTAATAGGGTTCTGTTTCTATATACACATTACAACAATTGTTTTGTTTTGTTTAAATGGAAGTCAGATGTTATCATGACCCCCATTATCATCAAGTTTATAGCAGCAATATAAATACAATATTATGTGAAAATTACTATATATATATATATATATATATACTATATTACTATATCTACCTTTTACGGTTCATAACATACAGCTTCCTGACATATTGATGGGCGAACAGGAAAGGCTTAGTTGACACTATTTGAACATTAAAATGTCTAACAAATAAGAAAAATTTATTCATGGATAGCCATTAATAAAGTAACCGAAAGATGCCTTATAAATTGTTCTAAAACTTTATAATGGAGTTTACAGTTCATCCTTCTAATAGCGGAAACTAATAAACTTTAAACATATAGGATTATAATAGCGAAAAACTACTTACTTCAAGGTTGTATTTCTGATAACTTCGTATTTTATAAATGTACCTAACATTTCAAGCTCTGCTGTTTGTGTTTGTTTTATAGAAACAAATAAGTGATTAAAAACATTTTTCACATATTTGTATGACTGAGCAACTCTAAAACAAATTTGAAGAAATCGAAAATCAACATTTTCCCCATTCGTAAATTGTACGATCAAGGCAGTAGTAATAATAATCCAATGGATCAAGGGCCCGTGGTCCCACCGGTTACACATGCAGTACCTACCTATAATGCAACCCTAGCGAGACCCTTGGAGGCCTAATGGGTTCACCCACATTGCGGAGCGTCAACTTCATAAGGGCCCCGGATAATTGTGTCCGTAGAAGCCGGATATATGCACAATGTCTCATGCCACCTCATACTCAGCTGTCCAACTAGGGTAGACTATATTAAAATGATTGGCCTTTAAAGCTGAATTCTTCATTTGTTTGTCTGTACTAAATGGTAATAATTATTAGTTTTCTATTGAATATGGTTCCACAGTTCTATTACATCTATAGGAATTTACTATCAAAATAAAACGACCTTAATAATACTTTCAAATGTATAGTGATTATCATACTAGAGATTATAGGCAATAATGGTACACCAAAATTAGAATGTTTGTTGAATTTCAGGTGAAACTCTTAAAATATTTTTTTTGTACCTATGCTGTAGCAGTAAATAAAAATTGTTTAAAAACACCACATAACCGTAGCATGAGCTTGACGTAGCATGTGAGAACCGGTGTCAATTAAACTCTGTTTTTTCTATAAAATATCAAACAACTACTAAAATACCTAAATCAGACAGAGTCAAACTGCGCCTCAAACTCAAAATCAATTTGGTATATTTTTTTTAATGCAAATGATAACCGCCGATCTTTTCAAGAGCTTTATAAAATGTAACGATTGCGCGATGCAGAAGCCGTTTCCGTTGGTACACGAGGTAACTCTTTGTGGAACTAATGATATTTTATTGTGGTTTTAAATAGTTTTTTTAGATTTTGTTTTTTAACTCAAGGTTTTACGCTACGATAACCTCATCTCTGTTACAATTAATGTTTTCTTCTAAGGAATTTCCAATAGGTAAGTAATTTTCTTTAACCAAAGTTGAAAGACTGTTACTAACAAATCTTTCTTAACCATTATAATATTCCTTAAAAGTTTAGGAAAATCACTATTATCATGATTTTTCAGGGTTTTCAAGCCAATAGTTTAGCTTTTAGACTTTAAAGTTCAATGTTTCGCAAACGGATCCCTAAATCGAAAAATAGTCTTAGGAACCCCTAAGTAAATAAATAAATAAATATTTCCAACACTCACACCAATTAGCCTAGCCCCAAAGTAAGCACTATAAGGCTTGTGTTATGGGATACTAGGGTAACGGATAGAATACATATACTGTACTTATATAAGTATATTTATATAGAAAATACATATTAAACATCCATAACTGGAGTACAAATGCTCGTATTCAGCACACAAACATCTGCCCCCACCGGGATTTGAACCCAGGACCTTCGAGTCGGCGACACCATGAAACCCGGCGTACAAACCACTCGGCCACGGAGGTCGTCAAAACAGTAATTTTAAAGTATCTATTTAATGATATCCCACACAATGGGGTAGCTGATGAAAAAAACATCTCTAGGTTACATGTAGGGGAGCATCCTTAAAACAAAATATTTTTGAAAATTTATTCTACCATTTTGTTGACGTTATTCAGGTGTGGTCGCAGCCTGAAATTTTGGAGGGGGTCACTCACTACACTAATAAAAAATAGGTATCTGGAATACAATAAACATTATTCCACAAGACCTTTTTCCTGATCTAATGAAACATAGTAAAATAACTCCATTGCATAAATCGGGTAGCACATCTGACCCCACAAATTTTAGACCCATATCCGTGCTACCCACCTTTAGTAAGATTTTTGAAAAGATTATGCTAGATCAAATGCAATCATATTTTTATAGTAATAACTTTCTGCATAGTAAACAATTTGGTTTCACAAGGGGTCGCTCAACAACCGATGCCGGTGTTGAGCTTGTACAGCAAATTTTTGATGCCTGGGAGAACTCGCATGATGCACTTGGTGTGTTTTGCGACTTATCAAAGGCATTCGATTGCGTTTTTCATGAAACATTGATCAGGAAACTACAGCACTATGGATTTAGAGACACCACTCTGGATCTTATTGTATCATATTTGAGTGATAGGGTTCAGAGGGTTGACATCAATGGAGAAAAATCTCCTGGTTCGTCGGTTAAGATGGGAGTTCCGCAGGGCTCAATCCTTGGTCCTTTCTTATTTTTAATTTATATCAATGATTTGCCTTATTTTGTAAAGGATAACCATGAAATAGTATTGTTTGCGGATGACACTTCACTTTTGTTTAAAATTAAACGTAGGCAGTCGCAAATTGACGACGTGAACAAGTCTATTTCTAAGGTAGTCCACTGGTTTAACGTTAATAATTTACTACTAAATGAAGGGAAAACTAAGTGTTTGAAATTTGTTTTACCTAATGTTAAACAGGTAAAAACGAATGTAAATATAAAGGATCGAAATGTGAGCCTTGTAGATACCACAGTGTTCTTAGGAATCACACTAGATTCAAAGTTGCAATGGGGCCCACATATTGATAAATTGTCGAAGAGACTTAGCTCTGCAGCATATGCTGTAATGAAAATACGTCAGTTAACGGATATAGAAACTGCCAGATTAGTCTATTTTAGTTATTTTCATAGTGTAATGTCTTACGGTATTTTACTGTGGGGAAATGCCGCCGATATTCAAACAATATTTGTGTTGCAGAAGCGGGCTATTCGATCAATTTATAATCTTAAAGTTAAGGACTCTTTAAGAAATAAGTTTAAAGAAATAGGCATAATGACGGTTGCATCACAATACATATATGAAAACTTAGTATATGTCAAAAAAAATATTAGTTTATTTACTAAAAATAGTGAAATACATATACTTAATACTAGAAGTAAAAATAAGTTAACTTTACCTGCTACTAGGCTCCACAAAATTAATAATTCGTTTAGAGGCCTCTGTGTTCGCTTTTACAATAAAGTCCCAAGCAATATTCAAGAGTTGAGCCTGACTAAATTTAAATCGACTATTAAAAAAACTCTTATTAAGAATGCTTATTATAAAGTGTCTGATTATATTACAGACAAAAATGCTTGGGTTTGAACTGTTCCAAACAAACCAACGGGTATTTCTATATGATATATATTATGGATCATGTGTTGATGATACTTTTATTGAAAAGCTGTATTTAAAGCTGATTACGTAAGGAAGAATATCAGACTATTTAAGAAGATTTGAATGACAAAACGGCGTGGTCATGATTTCTCCATTGTTTTTGCTTTGTAATTGTTTGCAGTGTCCTACAGATAAATGACTTTAAGTTTAAGTAAATATGTTGTGGTTGATATAGGTGGTTATGGGTAGTCATTCTCTCTTAAAAGTCTCTTCGGTGGTGTCGTGTGAGGCGGGTCGTTACGTTCCCTAAAATATGGTTGAGCGAAGCGATGGCTGGTTCATGCGTCATGCTCGTGAACGGGTGCTGCCAGCGGAGATGAGTCTGCCCTAACTACTTTGATATTTAAGATATAAATGTTTAATTACACCTATTATAAATAACTCTGTTTAGATTTATACTGTGTGACACAGCAATCAAAATGCAGGTGTACAATTAATGTATAATTTCACATTATGTAATGAAGGGTGACTTCATGAATCATCTCTGAAGTCATTTTTCAACTTGACGACTCTGTAAATGATAAAACAGGGAGAAAAAAAACAGCCCTTGCTGAGTTTCTTGCCGGTTCTTCTCAATACAAGGTCTCCCGCCGTAGATTTACGAACCGATGGCGTAGCTTCTAGACATTCATATGTGCTTGTAACAGCCTAAACTGAATAAATGATTTTGATTATTGATTATTATTGATTATTGAGACACAACATTTTTCAATTTGACCTTAGATTTTGGGGGGGGGGGGTCATGTCCCCTGTGACTTCGGACCGCGCCTGGCGTGATTGATATACATATCATATTGTTATACAAAATTACAGCTCTCTAGTGCTAAGGCTCCAAGTAAAACCGGGGACGGACAGACAGACATGACGAAATTATAAGGGTTCATTGTCAGGACTCCGGAACCCTAACAACAATTTCATTTTCCCATATAAACTGTTCTACTTGCTTTCCTGTAAACCCATTTTAGGCATTCTAGCGAAGGGAGAGGTTTAATATCCTTAGGATAGGTAATAGATACAAAGTGCACCAGGTCATCTAGTTTAAGAAAATAATAACAGTTTTATTACAACAGAGATCGCGCCAAACTTCGAGTGTGTCAGAACTGCTTGAGACGTTTCTGAAAATTGACGAAATTTTTATTTAAACACTGTACCTAGAACGCCCCATGGCTAAGTCTTGCATTCCACTATTCAGAATTAGGTATCAAAAGACTCGTGTGATACCCACATTACCTATCATAAACCCACATTCGTGTTTTAATACCCCGCATTATACAACAGTTGCATAAATAACTATTATTTTATATCTAGATAGCTAGACTGTTAGATTCCACAACAGAACATAGCCCCTCTCTTCGACTATTAGTGCTTGTGAAGGGAGTTCAGACCTGACTCATCACGCTGGTCCAGTACGGGTTGGGGACTATTATGTTTTACCTTTCTACATTTTCATTTGGTTCTTAAAATCTGCATCGCTAAGGTCATAAAAGATACATAATTTTGAAGATTTGTTTTTGTATTCATCCTATCATAGTGCTAAATTAATAATGTTCGCTTGAACAGGCCGTATGATAAAAAAATATGTGTGACCTATAAGGGAATGGAGACAATCTGTTTTTTCACTCCCTATCTTATTATCGATTTATACATAGCTACATGCGTTCGTAGACCAATTACACGCAGTTGTCTTTCATCCTAAATCAGAAAGAGTTTGACGACCTCTGTTGCCGAGTGGTTGGTACGCCGGGTTTGTGTCGCCTACTCGAGAGGTCCTGGGTTCGAATCCCGGTGGGATTAGATGTTTGTGTGATGAATACGAGCATTTGTACTCCAGTCATGGATGTTTAATATGTTTCTATATAAATATACTTCTATTTGTATCAGTACATGTATTCAACCGTTACCCTTGTATCCCATAACACAAGCCTACAGTGCTTACTTTGGGGCTAGGCTAATTGGTGTGAGTGTTGGAAATATTTATATTTATTTATTTTATCTTCTCAATTATTTTAAATTGTGAGTTACCCAATTTTTGATTCTTAACAGCATCTAGTTTCTTATTTAAGGTACTATTTATTGTATCGGGTTCTGGTTCATACGAGTTTACCAGTTGTGGTTATACACAAGCCAACCAAACATCAGAATGGCTTGAGCATGACACTACATTTTTTTTGGGGAAATGCGTGAAGTAGTTTTTATTTATTTATTTAGGTCAGCCAATGGTTGCTACATTGAAACATACAATAAGTCTTATCTACTGAATTTAATGCTAAATGAGCTAACCAATTAAAGGCCAACACTGCATGCACATATATAAATTAGTTAAAAGTGTACATTAAAAAAATATATAATAATAACAAATTCTCACCAAGATTACTTATATACTAATAATTAATAGCAAAGACATGCGTAAAGTTACCGATCATACTTTTTTTTTATTTTAGAATTTATGTTATACATTAAGTTTTAAGTCTTATGTTTCTACCAACTGTCACATAATGCTTAACATTTACATGCATGTCATGTCTCATAAGCCTCCAGAAACCCTTGTTTGAACTTCGCCAGCGAATCGTTATTGACACCTAAGGTCCGACTATATTTGTTGGGGAGTTTGCACAAACGAGGTATTGGGGAATTAGCGCCTAGGACAGTTCTACACAAGGGTGGGACCAGTGGTTTAACGGTGAGCCGTGGGTTTCTACGGGGAACGTTGAATTTTATTTTTCCTAGCAGCTGGCAACAGTCAATTTTATTCCTGAGAAGTTTGTTTAGAAACTGCAGATCCAACAAGTCACGTCGCATATTCAATGGCATCATATTGAAATAGACTAATCTGTCACTATAGTTTCTGATCCTATTAGCAATTCCCGAAGAGCGCGCCAAATGCCACAGAAACCTCTTTTGGAAGTCTTTCCAACCTTGGATTATACGTTGAAAAATATGGATGCTAGACTATACTGCAATATTCAAGAGTACTTCGAACAAAGTTGTTATGCAGTATTTTTATAGTTTTAGTATTGCGAAATAATTTTTCATTTCTCATAATGAAACCCAACATTTTGGAACTTCTCTTAATTATGTGATCCATGTGCAGACCGAATGTGAGCTTACTGTCATATATACCACCTAGATCTTTAATATGGTGGATTTCCTGAATTAATTCGCCTGACACCGTGTATGAGGAAGGAACACATTTGCGATTGCGAGAATATCTCATGTAAAAGCATTTCTGGATATTGAGGTGATGCACCATTCCGTAAGTCTATCAATATCAGTTTGGAGCAACAAAGTATCATTGTGAGATTCAATCGATCTCGCAATTTTTAGATCATCAGCATATAGGAATGGGCAAGAGTTCTGGAAGCTTTCTGAAATGTCATTAATGAAGAAATTAAATAAAATGGGAGCCTTGCCCAATATGAGAGCCTTGAGGCACGCCAGATGTTATTACGTGTTCACTCGACCTCGCCCCAATCATAACAACATAAAAGGATCTTGCGTCTAGGTATGACTTAAACCAATTTAAAAGTGGTCCCGCTTTGCCATATAATGGAAGTTTATGGACTAAGATGCTATGTGTGACTCGGTCAAATGCCTTCCACAAGTCTGCGTATGTAACATCTATTTGCTTACGAGTCTACTGATTCGGCTAACAATTCCGTAAATGAAACTAGATTAGTACATGTTAACCGAGCCGTTACAAAACCATGCTGATTTTGAAATATTAAATGTTTCATATGGTTTTGTAAAATTGGACACAGAACGGACTCAAAATTTTTCGAGAAAGCAATCAATATAAATATTGGTCTATAATTTTTTACTAAGGTTTCGTCGCCATGCTTATATATGGGAACTACCTTTGCTTTCTTCCACACATCAGGAAACGTACCGGTTTTTAAGGATCTATCAAATATTTGACTTAATGGATCCATCAAATTAGATGCGCACTCACCTACACATACAATTAGGTGCGGTCCTGGCACACACCAAACTTGTAATTCACTAGACTCCACTCTGAAGTTGCTTCGCGCAGGTTTATAGTCGTATACACAATCTTCTTCCCTCTATGTACCTGTCTTTTGTTACTGCGACGCGAATTGTGCAGTGTTTAGAGTGGACTAGAAGATTGGATTGATTTTGTATCAACGTAGCCAACGTGCACAAATACCGCCACGCTGCCTGCAACTATAATGGCTCCTCTACACTATTGGCCATGATGGGCGATCAGAAGATTGGCCATGACCGATACCATCATTTTGCAGCTATCTACACACGATGGCTTAATATAGAATGGCAGAGCTGGTGAGAGATTTTACTATTTATTATGAATACGATAAAAAAGTGGAGAAAAGGAAATCGAGACATAAAATATTGGAGTCTGCTGGTGACTCTAAAACCCCCCTACATTCAAATTTGAACCATGTCCATGTCCAAATCCATTTAATAGTTTTTTCGTAATTGAGTAACATACACAAAACTTCAAAACTTTTACGTTTATAATATTAGAAGGATATCATATGTTACTGAATAACAGATCAGTAATCTGATGGTTCCGTCGGTTCTTCTGGTATCTAAACATTTAATATTATAATGTAATATTATAATTTTGAACGACCAATTCCTACAACACTTCCATCTACCATGCTGCATATTTTTTTAGACAGTGAATAAATAATCAGCTCGCTGCTGACAGCAATATCTGGAAAAATCGGTAACTCTGTTCGCATATCTTTTATCAACTTTGAATATCTTGTAGAAAAAATATGACAGAATATAGAGATAGAGAGTTAGAATCAATACCAGTGACGATAAGGCTTGCAATCACGTTAAGATTTCTAGCCAGCAGTGGAGACAGCTACAGAGGTATGCATTATACATTTAAAAATTTCTTCTCAAAGAATATAGAAAATAATTCACGAAGTATGCCTAGCTCTCAATGCGATGTAGAGGATTTTGTTAAGGTAAATAAATAAAACAATTATAACGTAAGTATGTGAGAATTTTTAATTAGTAGTAAGGCAATTGACTTACTAATTTTCGTCCAATTCCGCATTATAACAGGCGTCGGTAAGAATATCCTGTGACTCACAGTAGTACTCGTACCTTGGGAAACAGCTGGAAAAGTATTTGGATTTGGTATGTGTATTACAAAAATTGAGATGGAGATTGAATTATGAGAACTTCGGAGGGTGAATTAATAGAATCAATTGATTGTTCAGGTGGAGTTGGAGAGGGAGAAGCGGAATAATTGATGGAGCTATTTGTAGAGCTGGGACGGGATTTGATAGCGTACTTGGATGATGATCCTATTACAGTTTTATTTTTAATTTGGTAGTCTCGCTTACGCTTTTTTAAGAGCAAACCGTCAATTTCATACATAATCTCCTGTCTTTCTATTTCAGGATATGACCTTAACTTTTTCGCAAGAAGCATACCATAGAGATCGCAGTCATCTCGGGAATCGTTTTTATGTTTCGTATTATTTAACATATTATTAAGAGTAGTCAATGCCGTGTTCATTTGGGTTTCCTGTAATTCCACGGGTTTCTGACGTCGTCTTTTTTGAATAGGGATCTTTACTAGAAGATTTTCATCGGAATTGGATTCTTCATTTTCTGAGGATTCCTGTGATAAAAAAAATTTATTAGTTTAAAAATATTTTAATTTTTCAACTCCCTATTACCGAGGATGAATGGCCAACTAAGGCAAACAAGTTCCCGTTCCCCCGTTGTCTAGATGCCTTAGATGGGAAGCATCCTACCACCTCCGAAGAGTGCATCAGATTAAACAATTATGAAATAACTGTCAACGTTGTTCTTTGAGCCTTGGTAAATTAGATTATAACTTAATTGGTGATGGCAGAGTATTTAATAACTGCGTTTTATGGGACAAAAATCCACGGACAGTTTAAATTTACTACCACCTAATACACTTTTAGGTGCTGACAGTATTGCACCTTACGTGTTTTTGGGAGATGGGGCATTAGCACTGAGTACGCATGTATAAAAATCATTCCCCAGGTACTACGCATTAAGCACTTCTGAAAGATTATTTGATAAAAAACTACCCAGTTCTCGCCCAGGGTTGTCATAGAAAATGTCTTTGGCATTTCGACTTCCCAATTTTGATTTTCACTGTGTAATGGTTATTTTATGCGTAAAGAAAGTTAGTTCCCCATTATTCGATCATTGGAACTAATTCTTTGAATAATAAAGAGTAATATTTTTGTGTTTTATCTACCTCATTTTCCGTAGTTAAAATGCTTTTACATTCGTAGATATCGCTCATGAAAGCAGCCAATGCATCATAGTAAATCCATATGGGTTTAAATATTTCCTCTTCTCCAGCACCAGATTTAATAGATGTTATTACTTTTTTATGATTTAAACGGAAAGCTGACATTAAGGTTTCCTTTTTCTTTTTCAATTCTGGTACAGGAATGGACATTGCATCTTCAATTCGTTTCCATGCATCATTCACCTGTAAAAAGAACTGCATGAAAAGAAACAATTCTGTAAAATATTATTAGCTGTTTTATATAATTGATTTTTTGCGGTCAGCAAGATTCCATAATCAGATATTTAGGTATATTCATTTAGATTTTGAGAATTGCGTCCGCAAAATTCCATGCATCATAAGATTATCACCCACGGCATGATGATAATATTACATTTTCATCTAATTTATATATAGGTATGTATGTAAAATTTCAGTTCAATCGGAAACCGGCTAGTAGATCTTTAATTTGAAAGATTTGATCACCAACAGACAATAAGGAAACCGGGACAGGTGAAGTTAAATAAAAGTGTTAAATAGGTAGTACTTACGACGCTTTTTTCTTTATGGTGTCTATTTTTTGAATTCCAAATTGCGGGTTCATTTTGGTATAGCTCAATAAATTTGAATGTTTTATCAGTAGTCCACTTGGATTCCGACATGGTAATTAAGCACTTAATGGAAGTAATTGATAACTAGAAGTAGGTACTTTATTAACCAAATCCTATGTAGGTACGTATTCCAACGGTGTAAAAGAAACAAAAATGTGGGTCCTAACCATACCGTAGCCAAATGTAAACTGAGAGATCGGCGATCGTGTTGCACACGCACACACGCACAATCATGGCCGAACCGACACAGCGGGTCGATTGTTGCCAGGCATGGACAATTTACAAGCGATTATGCCCTTCACTCACACGTTCGTGATCGCTTGTATTCGTCCATCACGGTCCATTGTGTAGAGGAGCCATTAGAAAACAATTCTAGTGCAAACATTGAAAACAATGCTATTGCATCGAAATTCGATGGGTAAGGGTGCATTTTAACTACATAGGTATTTGGATTTAACGTATCAATAAATATGTATTACGATTTAGGACCGAACCACGTATAAGTACATTTTTTGCTCTTATTTTAATACCGACCAGTGTTTAAAAGGTAATGGACACGTATTTTTTCTTTAATCACATAGGAACCTACGCATACGGATGCTAAGTGTGAGTGGACAATTTCGACCTAGTTTTATTTTTTAAGGCATATCTAGGTAAGGATTTTGACGTTACCCTTAAGTTCTCCCCTATCTAATTTGGCTTGAAAAATAAAACTAGGCACTCTAGACTAGAGCATACAGCGATCTCTCATAAAAAGATCGCTAAGGTGTAAAAGGTGTTTGGTCAGTCAGAGCAATGGCCAGAGGTTTTTGATATTTCTAACGACTCTATCTAATTATAAATTGTAGCTTTCACCCCAAGTATAGCCTCCTACCTATACAAAGGTACACATACCTTATAGGACCAACCAACAGCCGATTCCAACAGAATCAATTACATCTAAGAATGCTTTCGTCGACACATGTATGACCTGTATGCGACTATTTAAAACCAACATTGTGCCTCTATAAAGAAAACCCCTGCCTGCTTGCTGCACAAAAGGTAATAAAACGAAACTAAGTACAATAGCAATATCTACCTATAGTTATAGGCGCGCGCACGACCCGTCTAGCCCCTTCCCTCCCCCTTTCGGCCCGCACCCCCTCGAACAGCTGACTACGTGAACAACAAAGAACATCAACCCAGCCCATACCATACTACCTATATCGACATGCCACAACAAAACAGTGGCGAAGCGAACATTGCCGACAATTATGTTTTTCTTTTCTTGACTCGGTATATTTACGCTACTTAAGCACACGCAGGTTTCATCGATTGGAAGTGTCAAAATTGTCCCCTTGATTGAACTACGATTATAAAGTTGATTTCCTTGCTTTATTTGATGTATGTAGTCATTACGAAATAGGTAGTTGCTCGATCATTTTTTTGTGCCATACCTTTACAGCCATGTAACAACTTAGCATCTACATAAGTTATAAATAAAATTGTAAATCAATAAAATCAAGACACGTGTGAACAAAGCTGACGTGAATCCACGTATAGATCCGAAATCCGTGTAGTGTTTTTATTAGAGGTGAAGACGACCTAGCAAAGGGCAAACAGTACTTGCCTTTCTGTTCATCCAATACACGAAGGCCTTCGAGATGTGGCACTCCGGGGAACAAAAAGTCTCTCCAACCAACAACAGTATTTATTTAAGTATTTTAATGATTTTAAATCACGGATTCATCGTTATAAAGGAGGCGACCGTCACTGTGTCGTAGTTTCTCACTGATCCGTTGCCATGGAGTTCTGAACGATCACACTACGGCGTACAATCCTTTCGCAACAACTATTATACGTATTTGATAATACCGAGCGTAGTCTTTATTTATTTATTTTGAGATTTATGTGTTATTTACATCACTTTTATCTGCCTGCAAACCTGTTAATCGTTGCACTGCCTGCGCACTCTATTTGCGCTTCTGCGTCAACAAAACATCAATGTTGCCAGTACCTGCGTCGTGTTTCGGACGATTCAAAATCTGAAATTGAACGATTTTAAGAAAAGAGGACGGATGCAGAAATATTAAACTAAAGGCAGAACTATATTTATCTTACGTGTTGCGTTGTGACGCGTTTTGCCTCATATATTTAGTACGTTTAGAACTATACTTATGTACCGCGAAGTGTTTACAGCGTTCCATTCTAACCCATATCCTCACATAACACAAGCCTTACAATGATGTCGATTCTGGCATGATTCTCTAAAACTGAACTTAAATTTGACAACAGTGCATCCTTGTCCTTCTCTATACAGAATGAAAAGGTGAGAATGACCTTAAATTTAGTTTTAAGTTTAGAGAATCATGCCAGAATTGACACCAGTGCTTACTTTGGGGCTAGGCTAAGTAGTGTATGTGCGAATTTATATTTTTATATTCTAACCACAGACTATTAGATTCTTACGCAAATTCTAACCATACTAAATGTATGAAACGGAACGGATACCTCTCACGGCCAGAGTGCACTCAGATTCAGATTCAGATTCCGAAAACAAGCGCGAGAAATAAACAGTGTAGTTAAAGCAGGGTGTCCATAGTGGCTGCAGGCAACCTGCTTAAACTACACTGTATATTTCTCGCGCTTGTTTTCTGAGTCTGAATCTGAGTGCACTCTGGCCGTACCCTTACAATACAACACGACAAATAAGTGTAGTTCTGCCATAATGCGGTTATTAGTTATATTTTTTTGGGCATACAATAAAAACAAAGATGATGAGGCGGATGACTATCCACCATGATGTACATAGGTACAGCATGGTGGTAAGAACGTACCGTTGAAATTGCAAAGCAAGCACTTAGGCACCATTCATTCATTACATAAAACTAGTTTTCGCTAGTTTTTGACCCCCTCCCCTATTTAAAAAAAAAAATAAGAAAAGGCCGACCCCCTACCCCCCTGTTTAATATTGAATACGTAAGAATCTAAAGAAAAAATAATATATATACGTTTGTTTTGTTTTAATGTTTATTTTTCAAAATATTTTTTTTTCAAAGGCGCAGTTCGGGTGGCTCCATAGAGGTATAAGAATAGAGTGGGGAAGACGGTTCTTAAAGTGTCCATCTATTAGAAAGAGAAAGAAGATGAGAGACTGCTAGCTATCTCTCTCTCTTGTGACGCATGGCATCACATAGAAATAGTGAGATGCTTATAGTTGCCAATGCGCATGCGCGATTAGAGAGAGAAAGCTAGCCGTCTCTCATTTTCTTTCTCTTTCTATTAGAGGGACACTTCCACTTGTAGTGGAGTCTATATCTCCACTACTCTATATTCTTATACCTCTATGGGTGGCTCTGGTCCGTTGCTATGGAAATGGAAATCGTTTAACTTCACGCATCCGGGCGGACCTCAATCGCGCGATTGCGCGCGCTTTTTAGAAGTAAATTTTTAACTGCGATTTTTTGTGATCATACGTACGAACTATCGAGACTCCCTCCCACCCACCTTTAAGAAAAAATAATGCATGGACCCCCCTCCTCGCTAAATCATCTTACGTAATACTTGAATGGCCCCTAATTCCTAAGTTATCATATTCTTTATTGAAACATAACATTAAGTGATAAGTTTAAGGAAGAAATCACTATGAAATTGTTAACAAAACATCGTAAATAAAATTTCAAAAGATGTAATTGAAAAACTAAAATTAAAAATAATTTCAATATGGATTTTTCTATATTCATTTAGTGCGATCCTTGCGTTTGATGCTTGCTGCACAGAGATCTTATATTAGGTTTCAATTTACTTAGCTTTTATCTCAAGTCTCCACGTTGTGTTAAATCAAGTCGATTTATTTTTTTATCAGTAAATCCACATTCAGGTAAATATGAAGATGGAAACGGTAGGTAGTAAAAGTTTTCTTGCACATTTGGATATTTAGTTTCAGTTTCTTCACAAAGCCATGCCATCGCTCCTTTTATATTAAATAAAGTTTTACTGATTCATAATTTTGCAATTCTGCGAGTTCTTCTTGATACTGCATATTTCATTTGATATTATCAGAAAAATCATGTATGTTGGGAAATCAATTTGTTTTAAATCAGAAAATCTTCCTTTTTAATCAGCGAATAGAATATTCAAATCATTGACAATAACAAGTAAAGCGGTATCAGTTACTTCACAATTTTGGAGCCAATGAAACTGTTCGGAGTTTTAAGCTATTGCATAGATTTTATCGCTGGCTTTGAGCGCGGCGACCGAATCAAATAATTCCGTAACGAAAAAAACCTTTCACCCCCTGAATAAACTTTTGGTTGTGGTGGGATGTGCAATTGAAAGGCTGAAGTATATCCATACAATTTTAATATGGCAACCAATTCAAGGTTTAAAACATACCTACCTAAACACCAAAATAAAACCATACCGCAATTCACAATAACTTAGCGCCATCTATGACAGGCGTTATTAACTAATTTTATCCAATTATCTAATACTATCTGAGGAATTTTTGGCGGAATCGGGAAGCGTCACTTTAGCCGTTTTGTTTTTCTTGTTAAAAATTGTGTTGTGGCGAATGTTAGGTTCTAATAATGGTGGATTATTAACCACTCGGGAACATGCACAAGTGTTGGCAAGTGAAACAAAATAGCGGAAAGTGTCTTTCGACGTTCCCTCAAGAAGTCCACGGGGAGGTTCCAGTAAATCCCCACACATTTACTGAAACATAGGGAAAGGGGAATTGACTTGACTGCCACTTACTTTGACCACGAGTGCTATAGAATTTGTAAACATTTTTAACACTAGACATTGGCTAAATGCACAAGCAGTGCGAAGCCATTTAGGAAAAAAAATATCTGAAATAAAACCATATCGCAATTCACAATGCATCAACGCCATCTATGAGAGGTGTTATAAACTAATTTAATATTTTAGTTTTTTACTTATTTATTCTTATCGTTTTACATTTATATGACTTCTATAATTATTAACATTTATTTATTGGTATATTACAGTACTTATAAATCTTATACATGCCACCCACCAAGGACATACTGCAGAAATATCTACAGTCGACCACTTCATGCGGCTGCACCGTCAGCTCCGAGCGGTGCGGGAATGTGGAGCCTACATGCGATCGCGCCGTTTCCGCGCCCTGTTCGCGGTTCGCGGCCACTTTGACGCGACCAAAACCCGACTCAAATCGGGGAACAATCTTAGATTAAAACAAAAAGGGTAGATACGGCACTAGCCTCACAAAAGTGATCCGCATAAATTGTGGTCCACGACCCTAATCGCTTTAGTCACAACTTGACATGCAAACGACGTACATGTGAAAGCCAAAAAGAAATATTGCTAATATTTTGTGTTTATATGATAAAACAATGCCTAAGTGTGTTTTTAAAAAGTGCTAAAAATGCTCAAGAACTAAAAATAAAACCCACGCATCACTTTTCATTCGCAAGTACTATAAAATATATTTTTTCATAAAAATTGCTGTTTGTTTTGAATCTTATTCGGTAGTAACGTCGAGTACTGGTCGCGTGATTGGTCGGTAATGCTAAATAAGTGACGCGGATCTCGCCGTCTCGTTCGCGCTGCCGTTGAAACTTAACGTGCTGTTTCGTTCGGGTGCTTTTCTTCTGCTAACAGTATTGTTACTGCTTTTACATCTATGTCATCTTTTTCCAGAACCGTTTTAAGAAATGCAGATATGGACGATTATGTCAAATTCTTTCCTATTATGGTGTGATTTTTTCCAGTTTGAAAGCCTTAGTAGATACGATCGTATTTACAAGGGTTTTGAAATACCGGAATCAATAGGTACCAGTATTGGTGTGATAAAACCGTAATCTCGTGATGATCATCATCAAGCTAGAGAAACAATTGTTTTTATGACTATAATGAAAGAAAGCTGTATATAATTAGAGCAATAAATCTAGTTTATTTATATCATTATCACAAAATTACAAATATTTTATCAGAAAGTTTGATGTAAGTGGCTCAGTAAGGTACTACTCAAAATGATGCTATGTGTCATGCAAGGAGCAACTGACATCAATCTTTTCTGACTGATCTGATTGCTTCTTTAAAGCAGGTATTAAGGTTATGTGTTCTTCTGCCAGAATTTGGCAGTGGTGCGAGGGGTCTTTCCTTTACCAGAGTTCTTCTTTGGTGCTGAATGGGTTTCTGCTCCACCGCCCGAAGCAGAATCATCGTTTTCCAGTTGAGTTTTCAAAGTTTTCTTTATGTAAACTATCTGTTGGCAAATAATAAGTATAAACAGATTGATTATAATGTCAAAAATATTGCTTAGAAGTTATATATACTATTGTAACTAAATAAAAACCAATTTAAAACATAACTTTTGCATAAAACAATTGATTGCCCTAAAATTGACATTTTCAGCCATTTTATGACCCTGCTCTTGGGGAACAGACTCTCTTATGGGAAGAAACACTATAAATATTGTATATATTTTATATCTGCATTTGAAATAATTTCATACTTGTGTATGTATCTCATTTGACAATGTGAACAAGGGGTGCTGATTTGCAGCAAAAAAACCTAAAGGTAGTATATATATAGTAAAATAAATCTTAAGATACGAGGAGCTTAGGCACAAAAAGTTTCATTTACAGTTTTTAACTTTTTGAGTAAATTGAGAAAATACATATTTTAAGATTGTTGATCTAAGCAATTTTTATTATTTTTTATTAACCATTTATGTGCCAATCTAATATATAAAATTCTCGTGTCGCGGTGTTTGTGGTTAAACTCCTCCGAAACGGCTTTCCCGATTCTCATGAAATTTTGTGTGCATATTGGATAGGTCTGAGAATCGGACAACATTTATTTTTCATCCTCCTAAATGTTAAGGGTCCACCACAGTGTTAAATCCACCCCTAATTTTTTTTTTCTATTTTAGATATTTTTTTTTATTTTTTTTTTTATGATACAGCATTAAATACATATAACCCTGAATTTTCAACCCTTTACAATCAACCCCTATTTTACCATCGCGATTTTTTTCATTTCTAATAATTTCTTTTTTTTCTCAATTCAATTTGATCTTCCGCCTTCACCGGTTGATAACCGATCAACGATCAATCGATCAGTTATCCCCGCTAGATGTCTACCTGGGTCACCTCTCATCCAGCAAAAATCACGGAGTAGGGATGAGAAGGAAGCCGGTCTCCTGTCTTCCTCAATATACGAGTACAGTGTTCGGCCATTTTTTTTGGATTCATTTGTGTATTGATCATAGCAGTGACTTATATGTATTATTTTAATTTTTCTGTGCATCTATTACGTTAATTTTACTATCATCGTGAATTTATTATTAATTTCCAGTGCAATAATTATTTTTTCACATTTTATTAATAACTGATAAAGACAGTTTTAACTATTAGCCGAAACGGCTCGACCGATTATGGTGAAATTTTATATGCATATTCAGTAGGTCTGAGAATTGGACAACATCTATTTTTCATCCCCCTAAATGTTAAGGGTGGTCCACCCTTAAACAATTTTTTTTGGACCATCATCATACAAAAATACATACAACCCTAAATTTTCACCCTTCTACCACCAACCCCTATTTTTTATGGCGGTACGAAGTTCGCTGGGACAGCTATATAGTAGGTATTTCTATAATTTTCAATATACGGATGGAGACATTGTAATGCTCCATACCTATAGCTTGTAAATGTACCTATTTGATTCAATAATTTTGTAAAATATCACCCTTTTTAGATTCACTGTCCAAAAGTTGTAACCTTACAAAACATTCAGTATGAAAATAAAAATAGATTCACAAACATTTTCATTTCTTATACATACAGGGTGTAAGAAAACCTTTAACGAAGTCGAAGGTCACGTATTTTCCACATCATGACGATCATTTTTTTCTTCTGGACCATACCTGGGAAATTTATGGTTATGGAGATGTTGAAGGTCAAAGTCTAAAATTTATTTTTTCAAGATTTATACATAAATATTTTCAAAACTTTATTTAGATATTTTTTTATCGACGCACTTACACACACGCACAAACATACACACAGGCACATTCTTTGCTACGCTACAGTAGCGCGCCGATCTATACATTGCTGAGTGGAAAAAAAAAAAAAATTAACTTAAAAATACATTGCGCAGTGGAAATAAAATATTTTTTTTACTTAAAAATACAAATGATTCAGGTATACAGAATGCATAGTTTTTGTCTTTGTCATAGATTTTTATACCCTGTAATATTCTCCTCAATCTGGTTCCTAGTTTGAACTGACTAAAGACTTTTCAAAGGTATTTCTTAAGAATATGTCACTTTTTGAATTCAAGTATTAATAATAACTGTGATTGAATAAAAATATAACTTTTTGTTCCAGAAGCAGCAGTTCACATCGATTTTTTTATGAAACTACTGACTTTTTCAACAAAATCTTGGGAGTTACAGATAGAATTTTGAGCCGATTAAAATAAAAAAACCGAATTGAGCAAAATACTAAAATGACACTTTTTGTTCCTAAGCTCCTCATATATAGTTAATTTGGCAATTTAGTTAATTTGTATAAAACTGTATGTTTCAGAAATTTATGATGACACAAATAAATATGATGTTTACCTCTTGTTCTATACCCTGTTGATGTCTTATAGCTCTCTGCTTGTTGTGATTAGCTCTTTGTATGTGACGGTCAACGGAGCTCAGCACCGCTTCACACGCATTGCACCAGTCTGCCAGTACATCGGCTATGGAAGATGCGTCTTCCAGTCTAGCATCACGGCCTAATGCTACATCTACCTCCACCCTCTTACATTCTTGATCTAGCTTGCCATGAATTATGTCTGGAAATATGAACAAATATAAAATACTAAGAGAAAATAAAACTTTTCAATTCCTGTCAATTTGAAACAAGCTGTAGGGAATCTTGTATATAACTTACAAGTCTAACATGAAAAGAAATATGTCTCTGGAGAAATCAGTTGTTAATATCTTTAAAAAGCAACATAAAGTTGATAAATTCTACAATCATTCACTTCAATAGGAACACATTTTGTCTTAATTGAGCCTAAGGCATAGTCTGAAAGTAATATTTAACAGGTCATCAGCCCATAGGCTCACAGTGTCCACTTACCCTATCTATGGATATGCTATTACTGAAACCATTGTAAGCATGCTAACAGCTAAAAACTAGCATGATAGAGATTTTATAATACTCCTTAGTGATTTTTTAAAATTTTGAATAATAATAATCCGGTTACAATACCACAGCAACATTTTTTATTTAAATCAGTGGGTGTGACAAGTATTCCTTTATTTTGATGCTTTTGACCATTTCTGGCATCAGCCAGGCAAAGATTACTTCAGCCTGAAGAGAACATAGGTTTTGGCCTCAATCAAAAGATTCTAGAACTTTTCAAATATATAAATTACTAATTCAAAAATACCTGCATAAATAGCTTCTATGATAAGGTCTTCTAAATCTCTCACATTTTTTATATCTAATTCCTTAAGTAATACACTATAAGGGATGCACTTCTCCTGAGTGGCAAGTGTTGCTATTGTAAGATGCTGCAACTTCTTACACTGCACAGGAGTGAGTTCCAAGTATTCAGACTTGTTCTCTAAATATTCCTTATATGTGCCATATGCAAAGAGGTTTAGTGTCTTGAAATGCTTTTCATATTGTCCAGTTTCCAACTGAAAAATTTCATACATATTAATTAGATTATAACTGACACTGATAATTCAGTTACGAAGATCAAGATCAAGTATCAATAAAAATCTTCAACTGCATTGCAAAAACAAGTCCTGCGGTGGAAGTCTAACCTCTTTGATGTTAGGCATTTCTAAAAGTTCGCCAAACACATGTACTCCTGGTGCTTCTAGAACTTGTTTGATGAGCTCTGCACACGCAAATCCTTTCGCACCTTTTGCTAATAACACGAACTGTTCAAGTGGGTGATTTGACGAAAACGAAGATAAAGAAGAGGGTTCATCTCTGTCCATTGAAATTGGATTCATGTTGGGGGATGTAATCTTAACAAAAAGTATTATTATCACTTTATTTACAATTAAAACGATATTTCTTTATTTATTTCGTCTTGGTTTTCGCAATTTTGTTTTTTTTTTAAGTTTAGCGGCCTTAAGGGGCCCATATACGGAACGATTGATATGTACGATCCGTCGTTTCAGACCGATCGAAACGATGGATCGACAGTGTATGTCAAGATCGTTAACGATTTACTTAATCGCAGACGATATCGGAGAACGCAACAAAAACCCATGCAATCATAAATATCATAAACGATCTATCGTCAGTATCCCATATACGGTACGATTGATCTGTACGATCCGTCCTTTCAGACCGATCGAAACGATGGATCGACAGTGTATGTCAAGATCGTTAACGATTTACTTAATATTAGAATATAGAAGACGATATCGCAAATCGCAACCAAATCTCATGCAATCATGAATATCGTTCATGCAATCATGAGTTCGTTTTCCATTTTAGAGGGCAAGTATTGAATAATTTGAGTACGTCTTTATCCTACCGTTTGAAACAAGTAAATGATAGATCGTTACGATCAATCGTTTCGTGTATGTAGTGGCATTTCTGAACGATCGATCGTTGACGATTTCCTTCAGATCGATCGCAACGACGAATCGTTCCGTATATGGGGCCCTTTAGATTATATCCATACAGATTATATTATAAATTAATTTTATTTATCTTTATGTTCTGTTATGTTTTTCTTAAGTTTCTTTTTTCTTATTACTAGTGTTCAAACGTAGCGGCGGCGGTAGAAGTCTTATAAAACTTTATATTCCATATTCCAAGGCAGTGGATTCTGACAAGATTCTCTAAACTAGGGATATTCATTTTAAAATCGATATTTACCATACGATACATTGGTGTCGATTCCGGCATGATTTTCTAAAGCTAAACTTAAATTTGACAACAGTGCGTCCTTGTCATTCTCTATACAGAATGAAAAGGAGAAACTGATGTCAAATTTAGTTTTAAGTTTAGAGAATCAAGCCAGAATCGACACTATTGATTGAATTGATGTTTTGACAAAGATTTGTTTTATTCGATATATCGATATTTTTATAAAATCATAGAATCGAAAAAACTAACGCTGAGTCGCGCGTGAACTAGTTTTAATAAAAGCACTTGATCAATGGTCTTGTCCTGACCTTTGACAGAGGGGAAATGCCTGTAATGGCGTCTCCCATCATAGGTACTCTAAGCCACTACTAGTAACTAGGTTGAATGACATTTGTTTGCATTTTCTTTGCCGTTGCGATTTTAAAGAATAGTTTTAAGAAAAAAGTCTACCATAAACAATAAAATGGCGGTCCGTTTTTTGTGTGTGCGATAAAATTATTGTTTTCAATAAATGCGACGAATGTTGTGAACTTATAAAGATTTGTAAAGTTGCATCGACTGTAATTACGACATGAGTTGCAATAAAGTGCTGACTAGACGTTTTGCTAAAAAATATCCTAAAGATTACGTGTGTCTCAATGTCGCTCATAGCGTCGTTGTCTTGCCGCTATATAAATTGAGCTGATTAAATCAATTTTGTAGTTGATGGAGATAATCTGATTTGGCAAATAAACTAAATTGTTTTTAAAGCATGGACTTACAACTAAAAGTATGAAGTAGTCGGCGATTTGATTGACGGGTACATTGTGTCGTTGTGCGTTAGTGGTTGTGAAAGCGTACATACATGCTCATAATGATAAAACTGTCACCAGGCGTGTTTACCATCAAATAGTGAATTTGTGTTAGTGGGTTTGTTTTTATTTTCATGTAGTATAAAAATTTGAACTGTTACAATGTGTATGCCAACTCCCAATAATGTTTCGGGCTTTGGTTATTCCTGGGGCTTCACGAGCAACGCGGATCTCACTAAGGGCGAAGTGGAAACACCGAGTAGCTTGAGCTACACCTTGGGAAATACGGTAAGAACATCCTTATAGCTATTGCTACATAGTATTGAATGAATACAATGCAAAATATAAAGGTACCTATTATGTACTATTATAATTTTATTGATTTATTGCAATCTTTCTTTCTATCTTTTGGTCTTAATAGAAAGTGGTTAGAGTCATTAATAAAATACTGCTATAAAACTTAATTAAATTGTCTAATTGCGGTCAATAAAAGTACTTCAGTCAGTACTTCATTAATGTGTGCATTAAAAATGTTAAACTTGCATGTAATAAACTTTAAAGAAAGATCATCCAAAACCATTAATTATTCATTATGAAATATAATAGGGTTTCTTTCTCAGCAAAAACATGTAATGTTTGCTGCTTACTGCATACATATTGTAATATGACACCTAACTTGTTTTACTTATCTTAACAATGGTGTAAATTCTGGCACAATTCTTAAGAGAATTTAAAAATTAACCTATACTTACATTTTGCCAATAGTATAGCCCTGAAATTCTCTATACAAAATGAAAAGGAGAGATGGATGTAAAATTAAGTTTAAAGTTTAGACAATCCTGTCAGAATCGATACCAATATAATGTTAGTGGTAAAAAGTTATGTGTCTTAATTAATTCCATCATTCAATTCTATCAGTTCAGATTCTTAAAGCTATTGAAGATGATGTTTTTATAGGTGTTAAAGAAGATATTCTAAACTGAATTATGTTGACAAAATCTTGTTGGCGTTGTTTGATAAATACTAAATTTAATTTTATAATCTCATGTACAAATAAAGTTGGTCTTTCATTTTGTAATTGTAAGCTATTTATTTTAATATTGGTTTTATTCTGCTGTTTGTTGTCCTTAATAAATAAAAAAATTAAAATTATTTTAATGTTTTTCAATTTTCAGGTTTCACCAGAGACAACACTTACTGTAATGTCCCATAAGACACCTCAAGTGCAAGAAAAAGTGGGAACTGTTGTTGCAGTGTCCAACACTGCAGCACAAGTCACCAGGGTGGTTACCACTGGTACTCCTACTAGACGAATGTTTGTGGTAAATGAAGCACCTACTCACACAATCAACAGAGTTTCACAGCAAAATCAAACAACAACAATACATAGTTAGTACATTTTTTATTATAATTAGTAAAATAACTGCCCTAAAAGACTGCTCTAAGTAATTGGTTTAGTCTTGTTATTCACAATTAATATCAAGGAGTTTGTAAAGTAATATAAACAATAAAAAAATCATAATTTAAAAAATAAATACCTAATAGGAAATTTAATTACATTTTAATTTTCATATCTTTTGTTACAGCACCAGCCAGCTTAACAGCAAAACCTTTTATGACACCATTAGGCCCCATACAACTTACAGCTGAAGAATGCAATGAGATATTAATGAAGCGTGCTTTGCAAGCTCAAGGCATAGCTACTCCTGTCATTGATGCTTCGCAGTTGAACCACACTCTGTTGAATGGTGGCATCAAGACACTGAATGAGGCCACTACCCAACAAACTCAGCAAGATAACAATATACAGACAACAACTGTGCATCAACATCATTTACTGCATGCAAAACAGGAACCAGGCACAGCAAACAACTCACCAAAAGTAAGAACATTTTTTTATTTAGTTATCTAGAAAATTTATGTTGACAGGGCTTAATTTTCAATGAGCATTTAGATCAAACATAAAGCAAAAATGCAAGGGTCATATTCTCACAAGTGATTTTGTACTTAACAGTAAACATAATAAGTTTGAAAATTTATTTCAGAAATTTGATATTTCAAAAACCTGTTATTCTCTTTATTGTTTTGATATTCATTCATATCATAACTCTTGTGTCAGACGGTGTACTCGCAGACAGAGATGATGAACAGCAACACGGTGATGACGACGGCACCGCCCGCCGCCGTTAAGGAGCGCCCTTACTCTTGCGACGAGTGTGGCAAATCATTCCTCTTGAAGCATCATCTGACCACACATGCTAGGGTTCATACGGGTGAGATTAAAAGTGTATGATACATTTAATATTAATTAGTAACTATTGAGAGAAAATGGAAAACCAAATTATTATGAAATAAAATATGAAAATATCAGCAATGAATTTAAAAAGTAAATTTAATTTGCAAGCTGACTTGAAGACGTTTTATGGCTGCTGCCATACTATGTATGTTTGATGTTAATCTCATGATCATGATATTGCTGAATAGCTGCTTGATGATTCTCTAAACCTAATCTTAATTTGAACAACAGTGTATCCTTGTCATTCCCTATACAGAATGAAAAGGAGAGACTGATGTTAAATTTAGTTTTAAGTTTACAGAATCACGCCAGGATCGACAACAGTAACAAATATTTGTTTATGGTATACAGTCTTTGCAGCTATTGCTTCTCCATTGTGGAGTGCGCCATTATGTCCGATTTGTTTTGTCCCATTCTTTTCACACAAATTTTCTAAACACTCACACCTTAAAGGATGAATATATTTCCTATACAAGTTGTAAGTGCGGCGTTTCAAAGCGCCTTTGCTATATATGTATAGAAAAATGGGGGGAGCAAGATCTGATCAAATCAGTAATTTAAAAGCATTATGTGCTAGCCTTACAATCTTACATTATAACCTAGACCAAATTTTATTTTTATAGAGTTTTCGCAGTTATTTATTTACTATTATCATTAAAGAAGTCATTGGAACTTTATAAAAACCACAGATTCATCAATATGCATGTCTTGGGACAAATCGAGAATGAAATAGTCTCATCACTTCCAAAAGACAAACATGTTACAGTAAGTATGTGAAGACTTCAATTCCATAAATAATTAATTTATGGCAGGTGCACAGTCAGGCTGGGTTCCGCAAAGAAAAAGGGAGGACTGAGACATAATGAAATTTATCCTACAACAATTGAAGTACACGCATTGAATTTAGAAATGCAAAGTGAATGGTTAACCATAGATGAGTTCAACATTCCATTAGCTCTGAAGTGGCGCAATTTACTACATGATTGATCTTCTAAAATTCTATCTCACTGCCTTCCAAATGCATCCCAGACCAGAGTAACCTAGTAATATGGGGGGAAAGCCTCTGAAACATCGTGTTATACTTGTAGTGGGGTAATAGGTACAGTTAGGCACATATTGGTAGGTTGCAAGGTGCTCTTTGATAGGGAGTAATACTCACGTCGCCATGATAGAGTGCTTGAAGTCATACGTGAAGCACCAAGTCTTGCAGTGGCTACTAGAGCCCAAAAAATATTAACCACTAATAAAAAATTGTTAACTCGAAAAGCAAGCATTTCTTAATCCTAGGTATTGCACCTGACTGGACTATTTTAATGGATACATATGAAAAGTACTATAAAGTATGAGAGGATATTGATGTTTGTCATCCAGGTTGGACATATTCCTCTTTCCTAGTTATATAAAACATACAGTACTAATAGAGCTTACTGTACCGTGGGGAAGTTACATTCCAAAAGACCACACAATAACTATGAATAAATATTACGATCTAACCAATAAACTTACCAAAAATGGTTATCTAGTTATTTTATATGCGGTAGACTTCTACCGGAGCGAGAGGTTTACCAGAAAATCTCTCTTTAACCTGCTGAAAGACCTGGCCTGTCGAGAACTGCATTAACCTCAATTTTGGAACGAGTAACTAAGGCTGCACTAACAGGCTCCTATCAAATTTGGCTAGGAAGGGCGGGCAACTCAGCAGTCAAGGTGAGCGTTGATGCGCATCTAAAAGGGCGATCCCAGGTGTAGGTTTAAGGAGGCCCGCCTTAAACCTATACCTGGGACGCAAATCCCGGGAACTGCTCAGAGTGTCTCTCTCTCCCACACGATGGACCCGGCACCCGCACGGGGAATCCATGGATTGCTTAGAAGTTCATCTTTCTCTTAACAGGAGAGCGCCCTCACGTATGCGCTCACTGTGGCAAGGCATTTGCTCGGAAGCATTGCCTCAACACGCATCTACTACTGCACTCTGCGGAGCGGCCATACCGCTGCCACGAGTGCAAGATGGCTTTCACGCTCAAGCATCATCTGGTCACGCATTCAAGGGTGAGTAGATTCCTTGTGAAGGATAGAATAATGTGTACAATACCAATATTTAGGTCTAGGTAACTACAAGGCATGAATGCAAGATGGCATTCACACTCCAGCATCATCTGGTCATGCATTCATGGGTGAGTTGAAGCTGTGTGAATTTTCTGTACAAGGAAAGCTTGTGCTTTATTTGCACAGGAATCTATTCCTGAACTCTATGAACTCTAGTTCATAATGGTCTGTATTTATATCCAGCCTTTTATCCTTTGGCTGGATTTTATATTTGTTTTCGCTTAGCATTTGCATAAAGAAAAGTACATTACAAATATGTCCAATCAGTATTTTATTTTTACTGACTTGCAAGCCACTACTAGCGCCCGCTCGGGACTTCTTTCGCGTGAACTGTAGTTTTTTGAGAATCCCACAGGAATTGAATATTTTTCCGGGATAAAAGTAGCCTATGTCTCAATCCAAGTCATAAAATTTGCGTACCACTTTTATCCCCTCGTTCTATTATAACACGTTCTATATCGATCATAACTGTCAAACTCCATAGTAATTTTTGTGACAATTGTGTGTGATAAAAACGCCTTAAGTATCATATCGTGTTTCTCAGTCTAGGGGGCCAGGGGTTATAATATTAGTAGGATGGGATTTTAACTGTTATTCTATATTGTTAATATTTCTTTATGTTAATCCTATTTATGCAAGGAAGACTTGTGTTTGAGGAATAGCGTTATTAACAAAAATCATGTTGTATAGGTGCACAGCAGAGAACGGCCATACATTTGCGGCGAGTGCGGGCGTGGGTTTCCCCTCAAGCGGCACCTGGTGACGCACAGCAAGTACCACGCCGGCGAGCGGCCCTACGTTTGCAACGATTGCGGGGAGAGCTTCGCGCAGAAGGTAAATTATTGCAGGAGCTATAGAAATATAGTTTCGCAGAGAGCAGCCATATATTTGCGGCGAGTGCGGGCGTGGGTTCTCCCGCAAGTGGCACCTGGGGGGCTTACGGCGTTTTTCCTTTTGAATCGGACCACACATCTGAAGTGAAACTTCCTTTCTTAAATAACCTAACATTAGGCGGTGCATAAGGCATAGGGGAATGGAGCAGCGCACTCATCACTCACACTTGTTGTCACTCTGTTGCGTGTGACGCTCGTAGCGTTTTAGCCTTCGCCGAGTTACCCTCCAACTTTCATGCTCGTCGGGATGAGCTTCGCACACTCATACACAGACAAACACACACACACATATATATATATATATATATATGTAAAATCGTCACGAACGTCACACACATATATATATATGTGTGACGTTACATTAACTTAATTTATGTTGTTTACAGGATTGCTACCATTAAGCTTTCACTTATTACTTAATATAATAAGCTTACTATAAGTAATATGTTTACTTATTTGTTATTAAGGTACCATTAATCATTAAATATGTATTCGAAAGAGCACACATTCTGTTCTCACTATGAAAAAGTGGATTTTGTTGATTTGGTAAAGTCATGGGACTCCTTGTTTATCATGTCATGGAACCTTGATAAAACTGGATCTAACATCTTGTTACAGTTATTTTACTTACAGTAATTTATGTTATTTATCGGATTGCTACCATGAACCTTGTTCGATATTCGATAACGATCTCCGATATTTCGGCACTGTTGCAAGCGCAATGATCATGGAGTAACTTTAAAACGGCTTTTATGTTCTCAACAGGAACACTTGGTGATGCACAGCCGATTCCACGGCTCGTTATCACCGTTCGTATGCAGCGAATGTGGGGCAGCTTTCGCGCGCAAATTCCAGTTAGTGAACCACGGGCGAGTGCACGGGAAGGTGCCCCACGCGTGCCCCGTCTGCGGCAAGGAGTTCCTACAGAAGCGCACGCTGGTGGCGCACATGAAGTGAGTACCCTCCCCTGGGCGCGCAGTCGGTGAGCCACAGGTGGGGCACGGCAATGTGCCGTACGCGTGTCTCGCCTGCTGCACGGAGTTCTTGCAGAAGCAAACGCTGCTGGCCCACATGAAGTAAGTACCCTCACTTACGCGCGCAGTCGGTGAACCACGGTGCACAGCAAGGTGCCGCACGCAGGCCCCGTCTGCTGGAAGGAATTCCTGCAGAAGCAGGCACTGGTGGCCTACATGAATTGAGTGCGCATTCCGTGAACCACGGACGGGGCACAGTTAGATTCCGCCTGCGGTTGCTTTGACCTACTGCCGATTTGTCCTTTAGTGCGTGTGCCCCTTGCCACTATAAAATACTCGTAGGTGAGGGATGGTCAAGAATTTTAACCCGAATACAACTCCAGCCCACCTTCATAGCTGATGGCACCTATGGGGCACAGTACACCATACATCTTCTAGGCAGGCGTGTACCATCTTAGACCTCATCATCGCTTTCCATCAGGCGAGATTGTGGTCAAACGCTTTGCCTATTAAACATTAAAAAAAAGTAAAAAGAAACTGGCGACCATTGAGCCTCCCGGGCCGAGACGAATTGGCCTCGCCATGACCGCCTCTACTAGTTCTTATAAAGAAACAGATTCGTCGAGACCGGAGATCCGCAAATTAACAGTTTTCAACGGTCTACTTATCTCCACGTATTCAGCCAGGACTTCTCCTAGACGCCTTGCCAAGGCATCCGCCTTCGTGGCACTGTCTAGTCCGGTTGATTGTCTTGTATTTTAAGACTATCCGTTATTCCAATTGACTGGAGTTGGATCTTCGCCCCGGCCATTACCACCACGTTAGTATCAGTGACTCCACAGAATTCAGAAAGAGTTTGAATGGCCTTGTGGGCGGGTGTCACAGTTATGTGTGAGCATGGAGCACCCCCACTAGAGTCCGCATCACACAAATTTTGTTTGAATTCAAAATCGCCAAAGTCGGTGGGGTGCAGGGAGGTCAGCCCCGCTGTGATTGGACGCGTCAAGGTCAAATCATATACTCAGTGCAGCGAAGTGATGAGGGTAAGATCGATTTTAGAAAATATCGATATTTTCTATCGATAAAAAATTTAGAATAGACGCCTAGTACTGTGGTGTGCGAGTGTAAGCAAATGCGTAATCATACCCTCTCCACTTTCTTCCAGCGTTCTAATTACATGACGCGACTAGTAACTACATACTAAATTATATATAAGCAACACAAAAAAAAAAACACGCCCAGGACAAGAAGTATTAATGCAACGATATTAACTACCCTAGATACAACAACACGAACAAAATCGTGGCCGAAACGTGTCCAAAAGGTACATTGGACGATTCACGGAGGTCCGTAAGATGATCGCGTGGTCAAAAACAATATAATGCCTTATTTAAACATTGAAAGTCACCTTTAATGCATACGGCATAAGGTCTTAATTAAAATGCATGCGTCAAGTTCGTAAAATTTTACGATTTATTGTTATGTGTGAAAGAATATAGACCTTATTTTTTTTTACTTTTCGCGCGCAATTCTGAATGCGCTGTTAGCAATATAGCAGGTACAGATCGCGAAGAAAAGAGATGGCTAAGGGCGACGTATAACCGACCATGCATTTGAATATCACAAATATTTTATATTAAATCAGTTTATAGTAAGTATTACAACAATAAAATTTGCTTTAAAGGCGTTAATTAAAAAACATTAATTAGCTACCCGTCGCAAAAACGACACCTTACGTACTATTAGTATTTTTCTGTATTTTTTCACGGAATTCTTTGGCATCTTGACTTTTCAACGGTCCGCGATTGAGTGGAGTTCAAGTACTTCTTGATGGGGACACATTTTGAGCGCTCGTGGTGTTTCTAGGGTATTTAATATCGTTAATTCTATGTCTTTATCTAGGTCATAAACTATGCGCACTTAATTTCATACAAATCCGTTTAACCGTTTTAGCGTGAAAGAGTAACAAATATGCATACAAATTTTCGCATTTTTTCAATTTTATTAGGATATGTTTGAAGTCAAATAAACACTGTTGGTTGTATACTCATGACATCTATTATTGTATACGATGAAATAAATGGTTTTTATTTATTTTTTCAATTTCCATAGCTGACAATCTTATCGATAAACTTACGCGTTGAGACATGAGCTGCGTCTGAGTCACTAGCAATACACGTGCCGGTGTGAGAGCGAGATAGCATATATGATGTAGCCCATGCGAGAAAGGGATAGCGTAAAAAGACATCAACGCGTTCACCAAAAAATAAATACAATTAACACCAATTTAATATAACAGTATTTTTGTCTTTTTGTAATGCATTTAAACTAACCAGTGAAAAGTAATACCATTTTTTTAAGACTGGAAGTTGTACTCGACTTTCCACACAATTTAATTGCACAGTACGGCATTTTTTACAGTTTTTTAACACGAAAACGAGAAAAGCAGTTCGACCAACGCTCGGTTACTGAATGAAACGATGTATCGCGACGTCTGTAGGCGTGCCTCACGCATAGGTAAAATACTACTTAAGCTTGGCGTAAGCGCTTGCCCTTGTATGCGGACTCTAGTGGGGGTACTCCGTGTGTGTGAGCAAATGCTGTTAACTTTACTTAAACTAGATTCTGATTGCGTCGTTGCTCTCGGGTATGAGCGGTGATTGGTTCGATTGTTTGATGTCGCGACATTTGATTGGCTATTATCTATTAGGTGGATGTGTAGTGGGGACTAGCCGGCGACAACGGTTCCCGTACAAATGGTCTCTAATCACCCTTCTAACCTCTTTCTGTGTTCTGTGGGTGAGTCCCACTTCCGTTGCGAGAGGCTTTAATAATAGCCACCGCAGCAGTGCTAGGAACCATCAGCTGCGGCTTTGCTTCAGCCTGTCGCTGGAGGTTCTTCTGTGCGAGAGCTTATGCAGTCCTCCCTTGCCACAGCGCTCCAGTCCCCGTTACATGAGCACCACAATTTACATTATATCTCGTCTTTTATTGCGTCTAACTGTCGAAACCTTAAATTAAAACAAAAGGGAAGATACGGCACTCGAGGCTTAAAAGTGATCCGCTTAAATTGTGGTGCATGACCACAATTCGCTTTAGTTACAATTGGACATCCAAACACGCTGCATGTGCACTCAAGATAACAATATTGCGTATGTTCTGTGTTATACAAATAAAACTATGCCTTCGATGCTTTTTAAAAAACACAAATAGTTCAAGATCAAATACAAATGCCACGGCAACACTTTTCATTGGTAAAACTATCAAAATATTTTTTTCTTAAAAATCACGGTTTGCCGTGAATGTTAGTAACTGATTCGACATTTGTTATCAAGAAAAGGACAACAATACAACTCAGCCGTCTGTAGAGAGAGAAAAGAAAACGCAGTCGGCTGCAAAGCGACGCGGAGTCGCGCCGTTTCGCTCGCGCTGAGTTGAAGCGTACAATTCTGTCTCGCTCACTCGATTGAATGTTTATATACAGACGTGTGCGTGTGTGAGAGTTGCTTAAGTAGTTGAGTCGGATCATATTTTATTTGATGCTAGTATGAGCGTACCGTATCCCTTTTCGTTTTTTTTAATCTAAGATCAAAACTCCATAATTATTATACAATTAAGCGTGATAGAAACGAGCTATACAGGGTTAATTTTAAAACACCAACAACCTCTTAGAGTGTGATTTTACCCATCAACAGGAACAACTTTTATAATGGGACCAACTCTGAAATCGCGAAAAAAAAATTAGCTGTTTCATACATTTCGTGTGACTAGCTGGATGCACTTTTGTATGAAACAGCTGATTTTTTTTCGCGGTGGTCCCGTTATAAAAGTTTTTCCTGGTGATGGGTAGAGTCACCCTCTAAGAGGTTGTTGGTGTTTTAAAATTAACCCTCTACATCATCATATCGCGGTACTCATGCTAGAAGGGCAGGTTTCAGTCGCTGTGGTAGTCTCCTGGACCTTTGCTTCCGTCCTACGCCGGTCTGCCGCTAGTGGCTGTCTTACCGAGAAATCTTGCCTCCATCAAGTCCGACTGAGTGTTGACCATCTCGCCCACGGCTCTCATGAGCGAGCCTTTCAACTCCTCGATGGCCTTCAATGTCCGTCCTTCTTCGGTTAAGTCGGTCTTAGTCTTAGTGCAATGGCTATAGCTATAGACTATGATTTCTTACCTTACGCTAATTTTTAACCGACTTCAAAAAAGGAGGAGGTTCTATGTTTTTCAATGATTTCTCAGTCAATTGTGTTATTGTTTACTTGAACGAAGTGATTTCCACTAAAATGATTGAAAAAAAAAATTTTAAACAAAAAATAAAACCGAATTCAAAATCGAAAATGGAACTATAAAATAAAAAATAATGTCTGGTTCATGATTTGGAAGTCGGGCGGGTCAAGATTGAAAAACGTATTATTACCGATCAGAAACGACCCGCCCGACTTCCAAATCATGAACCAGATATTATTTTTTATTTTGTAGTTCTATTTTCGATTTTGAAGTCGGTTTTATTTTTTGTTTAATTTCATTATAGTTATTATCAATGTAAAAGAAGAAAAAAAGATCATTCATTTCGCGAGATGATTTAGAAACCATTGGTGGTCAGAAATTATAAAATGAAATCATATGCTGTAGTTGTAGCCATAGAATCCCGATAGGCGGTAGGCCCCCTAGTCGGCATCGTAAGTTGCAGTCACGGCGAGTTCGGCGGCGAAATCCTGAATGGCCACTCCTGTTGACTAACTCTAACTCAAACTAAAAACTCTTTATTTGCAAACTAAGTGTTACATACGGTTCTTAAACTTGATACATAGCATCTTATGACTTAGTCACCTTGTACAGGTATAACAAATAATAGATAATTAAACATTTATTTATTATTATGATATTAATAAAATTGTAATATATTATATATATAATACAATTTTATAATGTTATTCCTTGCTATTCCTTGTCAGTCTTCCTTCGACATTAAGGCGTGTTTTCCATCGCACCTCGTATCGTACTTCAAAGAGAGTTGCTTACATATTTGGGCGCCGCAGCTGAAATGCCTTATTATTAACGTACCTTTCGGTCAATTTCAACTATAGTTTGATTTTGTTTTTTGTTCATTTTAATTTTGGCACCAAGTAGCATGGATGGGGGCTCCTGGGCCACAACCCTGCATTAAATCCGCCCCTGCCTATTCCAGAAAAAGGCATAAACTATATCTTTTCATAACGCACTCCCTTATTCCAGAATCCATACGGGTGAAGGCGTAGTCGCATGCTTAGAATGCGGCGAAGCGTTCAAATGCAAGGCGGAGTTGCAACAGCACTGCAAAATCACTAGGCACTGCCTCATGACGACCCAATCCCAACAACAAACGCAGCAACAACAACAGCAGCAACAGCAACAACAACAACAGCAGCAGCAACAACAACAGCAGCAGCAGCAACAACAAGTTCAACAACAACAGGCGACGGTTATAAAACAGGATGATTTCAAACCGCAAATCATTCAAGTGAGCTCTGTAAGTTTCAACAGTTTTGATTGCTTACTAGCGATCTGTGGGACAAAATAAGATTCCAGTACCCTTAGCATGAACCAATGTCGAATTGGAATAGTTGAGTTCGATCTCGATACTCGTCAAATGCCGCTGTTAAAAGTTCCATACAAAACTTATTGACATTTGACGCGTATCGAGATCGAGTTGTTGAATTCGTGCTAAGGGTACTGTATAAAAATACCATCCCATTTTTTCTGATGATTTCTTTAGAATTTAATTAAATAAAATATTCTTTAATTTAAAACTTTTCATCAAATAGCATAATAAAACACAATTAGTCAACTCTGTCAAGCTGTTCAAGTGTAGAATTTGATTCTAATAAATAATATTGATTATGCATTACTAATGTATTAAATTACAATGAAGTGTGAATAAAAAAAAATGTCAAAAGTGTTTTGATCGATTTTGAATCATCATCATCAATCATCAAGGTATAAATCCGAAAGTATTTTACAAAGATATTTTACAGTATTGGTACCTTAATAAACGAATCGATCGTTTGTGATAATCGTTTAAAAAGGCAAATATGGAAATCTTTTATTACACGAGAAAGTGGGCTGTCAGGGTAGCTTCACACATAATCGGGTTGGCATTAATCGGCCCAGTCGATTATGTGTAGATGAATGTGAGGCAGTATAATTACTTTACTGTACCCCTAGCACAAACCAAAATCGAATTCGTTTGCGAGTCCGAAATGTCATTGTCAAATGTGTACTGATTTTTAGTTCCCGTTACGTCCAAAGTGGCGCTGCTGTTCAAGTTTCCATACAAAATTTGACATTGACATTTCGGTTTGAAAACTATTCGAATTTGGTAATGGTTCATGCTAGGGGTACTGTAGTAATCTACGGGTCGCCTTTGTTATTCGGTCGGCTATGCCGGCCCGAATATCTGTGTAGCTACCCTCATTATCCGGGAGTCACAACAGTAATACATTATGGCCAGGTAGGCAAATAACTCTACCCCACCTGAGGTAAAGTGGTGATTGAGTGAGTCCAAACGCAAACATAGCTGGTACAGCAGTAATAAACTGCCACATCAACCATCCTCACCTTGCCGGCCTGAAAAAATGCTTTTTCACGGCTCTCTTAAAGAACCCCAGATTGTAGGAACACGAGGGAGGGAACACGTACAAGGGCGAAGAATTAAAAAGCTTCACTTATGTCAGTACTATCTCTTTTCTGCGAATAGTGGTTACTCCAGAAACTATACATTGCTATTCCTATCTCTGTCTATTTCTCTCTAAATAATGTGATTGTTATCTTTCAAGCAGGATGACTTCAAGCCGCAAATAGTGCAGGTAAGCATTAGAAAGTTTATGCAATAACCTGTTTCTAAGTTAAGTACATATGTTCCTTGCACCGAATTTCGATTTAACTAAATCTAATTTAGCTTGTGCAAGAATGTCAAATTGACATTGACGTTTTGACATTTTCTATGGGCTGAATGTAGTTTTAGCAAATTTGATACAAGTGGGCCTAACTTATTAAGATTCACTGCAGCGCTTTTGTATGTTGTCATTTTATTTGTACTGTGTATGTTTTTCTGGCCAATAAAAATCCATGATTGTCATTGCAGTGCCATCTCTTGGCCCAACTGTGAATCTGAACTATCCAAAGACAGCCACAATACAAGAATAAATATTTAAATGGTTGCAGCCCTTTAGGAGGACTTGAAATACATACACATGGATAGAAGTTTTTATATAACTCAAAGTCATTATTCTTAGGAGACGGGCATTAACTTACATTTAAAAATGAAAAAAATTGTGCGTCTTAATTTACCCACAACAATACAGCTGGATAAAATAATAAAAGAAGCTACATTTATTTAGTCTTGCCCCAAAGTAAGCACTGTAAAGCTTGTTTTATGGGATACTAGGATTACGGATAGAAATTATGTTAATATGTTTATATAGAAATATATTTAAACAACCATGACTTACGTACAAATGCTCGTATTCATCATACTAATATTTGCCCCACCGGGATTCGAACCCCCTCTCTGCTAGGTGACATCTTGTAACCCGGCGTACACACTACATGCGCCACGGAGTTCGTCAAAAGTGGGTGGATATACATATACAGTGCCATTATATATAATACAATAATATTAGTTTTATATTGTACTACTAGGTCAATCTCTCGCAGGTCATCGGCGCTGACGGTCAAATAGTGACAGAAAAGACGACACCTGGTTACGCGTGCCCAGAATGCGGTTCCTGTTTCAACACTAAGGTAATAAAAATGAGTATACAGTAGAACGCCGATTATCCGAATTAATAGGGACTGAGGACGATTCGGATAATCGGACAAAGACTGGTAATAAAGAAAAACGAACTGCCACACATAGATAAGTTTTATGACCACACAACTGAAGTGAAACTTCTTTAGCTCCATCTGTATATAATGTATATATGTGTGTACAATTTATACGTATATGTACATATACATATTTCATTTACTAGCTATAAGAGAAAGAGAGAAAGAAAATGTGCGCGAGCACTGCTTTCTCTTGCTTATATCCCACACTCAACTCCCGTTCGCCTCGCCCGAACACACTTTTCGTAACGCGTAACGCATCCGCTAGCTTACCCCCCAAGTCAAGTTTCACTTCAAAAATTTTTATTCCAATTGTGGCGGTCGCTGGGTTTGCAGTAAATGAAGCCACACTGGATATTTTTGATGAACTGATTTTCTTTAATGTAATTTTAACAAGTGTAGTACAGTGGCCACTTCGGCGACGCACAAACGTAACTGAACTCATTCCAGTCACTTAATCCATTCATTCTTATGTATGTTTCATACACCAACAATGTTTTTTAAATTTTCATTTGATAAAAGCCGCATTGGTAATTGACATGTTTTGTCTGTTTCGTTGTACTAGGAGGCGTTGTCGCTGCATGTCCGCTTGCACGCGGGCGACCGCACCTGCGTGACGGACCTGTGCGCCCTCACCGCCGCCCTGCAGCCGGGACTGGTGGCCGCGCACCAGGCCACACATAGTGAGTTTATTTTGAGTATATGAGGGGTATCCTGCAAGTTAAGAGCATCGTTGCAAGCGTTATCAATTTCTTCCTCTTCAAATTCGCCGTGAAGTAAATGACGCTTGTTTTATATCTAAACTTGCTAATGGCAGCATTGATTGAGCGGAGTTATTGTCAAAAATTGGTCTTCGTACTAATGTACTAGTTCTGCGTCATCGCCCGTCGCTCAATGTACCCTTTGCTCACACAAACTATCGATACAACACATTCCTATTGCGTGGATGTGAAACTTACAACAAGTATAGCATTGAGAACGACTTTGACTTATTCTCGACAAGCCCAGCGACAGTCAGAGGAACTATTACTTCGAATTATTTTAAATAGGCATTAATTAAATAAGTGGGTATGCTCAATATTCAAACTGGCGTCTGTTTCCTTTCTTTTTTTTTCTTTTTTTTTAAGATACTATTAATTGTTAACTGTAATAAATATATTATGATATGAAGTATATTATAAGCATGTAAGCATATTATAGTAGGATAAAAGATTATGAGATAGTTATAGTTATATAAGCATGTTTAATATGTGGAGGTTTTTAATTGGCTTTTAGATATTGTTTTTTGTTTATTTAATAAGTGATTGTAAACCTTCCTTATATAAAATAAATAAATAAATATACAATCAAAGTTCGTAAAGTCCACATTGCCAAAATGTTCAGTAAACGGTAATAGTACATTATGATATAAGTGCGGTAAGTTGAGAATTACAGCCGAGGCAATATTGTTAGCCCGAGCCATAGATGGGGGCTATAAGAAGGCAGAGGCTGTAATTATCAAACCGCACGTATGTCATACTACGTTTTATAACACATTTGCGAGGAAATAATACTACCTACGTACGTACTTTCTGAAAATGAATTTGCACCTTTGTTTGTTTTCCATAAGATAAAATTTTGATACGCTTGACTGTAAATGTCTATGTCTATCCGTGGATTTTTCGGGCTTAGCGTAGCCTTTTTCGACTTCTGGCGGTGTCAAATTAATAAATCCGTTACTACTTGACAATATTTTCAAATAAAAACAATACAGCAAAAGGAAAAAGAAATAACTTTTTCACAGATTAGCAATGCGCGCGCATCAACGCTTTTTCAGGCAAAGGAACAAAAAACAGCCAGTGTTACTAATAAAGATGGTTGTAATTTATTGTCAAAATGAATCAAATTAAAGAATTCAATGTTTATATATTATATTTTATCTCCCAAAGTTAATTTTATTAAGAAATAGTTGGTTACCCTTCTGACATAAAAACTGACATAAAGCTAAGATTTAAAAAAATATCGTTCGTTTTTAGACGGAAAATAATAAGCCGTGCGTTTTACTTTACATTACCGCACGCGTGTGTAATGTGATAGATTATGATATTGAAATTGGTGCAGTGAAAGACGCTTTACGAGCAAATGTGTTATAAAAACGATTATTTTAATAATTGCAGGTACCTAACTATTCTAATGTTGAACATTATTTTCTGCAGAATTAGGGAAATACAAGTGCTTATCACGTTCAGTTCAATACTTTTGAGTAAAATCTGAAGTATAAGATGGACTTTCCCAGTTTTGTTACCAAGTTTTGGACTTTACTAAGTTTGTGATTGTTACACAATAAAAGAGCATTACAACATCAAAGGCGGCCATGACGGCTGTCTATGAAATGGAGGCAATGGAGCCTTCCTATTGGTCGAAAAGGACTTACGCAAATTGAAACATAACTCACTTGAACTTTGCTACGTTTGTTTGTAAAGTCAATTTTCAATTTGAAATGACAGACGAGATTTGTAGAATTTGTATAAAATTATTCCACGGGATAAATATAGATACAGAAATGAATGTATTGTAATTGAAGTCTCACTTTTGAAAAATTTTTTACTTTACCAATTTTGATTGTATACCCCTGATATATGCTGTTGATCGCTGATGACCTCTACAGCGTCACAGTGTTTTGGGACGGCCAGATCCTAAAGGGGCATCAACCCGAGAATTGGCGAGTTCCTTTAGAGGTAGAAGGGCCCTGTGGGCGGGGTAGGCGCGCCATAGTTATGTGTGAGCAAATAAAAAAAAAATATTTCCAACATGACTGGAGTACAAATGCTTGTATTCATCATACAAATATCTGCCCCCACCACACCGGGATGATACCTCTCGAGTAGGCGACACCTTGAAACCGGCGTACAAACCACTCGGCCACGAAGGTAGTAGGGGCGAGCCGACGATATCGGTTCCCATACAAAACGGTCTATGATCACCGTTCTAATGTGGTGGTGCCTAATGTCATCCACCTAACATAGTGGCGGGCTGAGTGGATTGTCATTTCTAGATATTGAATTGCAAATTATGTGACCTAAAATGTATGTTTTACGAATGTTTGTAACACATTTTTTTTATTTACTTTCAGATCAACCAATTCAAATTATCTCTTCAAACCCCAATAATGTTGTACATACGCAAGTTATAGCTACGGTAAGTTATATTTTTTCTTTTGTGTTTTGTTTTGATTATGTGAAAACATAAAAAAATACGTGTTCAATACTTTTAGATAATCTACTTGATATACAATAATAAGTCAGTCATTATTATAAATGACAAAAACATTTGTTTTGTTCCAGAATCACCACATAGCTCCGCCCCGGCCAAAGATACATTTTTGTTTAGATTGTAACAAAGGTTTTGCCGCCAAACATGGTTTATTGGCGCATCACAGAAGGTTAGTATGAACTTTGCAGTTACTGCTTCAGAGATTTCTACCTTATTGTGCATTTATATAAGGTTTAATTTTATGCGTTGTTTGTAGAATAATATGGTGAACGCTTGTGATCTACTTGATCACATGATTTATTTATAACTACAAATAACATTTTCAGCACATTTACTCAAAACATACATTTACGGAGGTTGTATACATTGTTTGAAAGTTCAAAATTACAGGCCATACAGCTCGAATTCGTCTCGGGCTTACGTTAGTCTACTCGTTTGTAATAACCAACTTACCGCACTAATATATAAATAACTATTTCGTTTTAAGGTTTCTTTACCAAGAATTCATTTGATGTTAACTTTAATTACAATTGTACACATTTATTGTTTCAAATTAAACCACAAACCTAAAAAGTAGATTGTGTAAAAAATAAGCCATCCAAATTACTAATTCCACGCGGACGAAGGCTGCGGGCAAAAGCTATAGTCTGTCCGTTATATTATTATCTTTTTGACAGATCGATCAAAGTAAAAATAGTGACACCCTATCACATAACTCGTTCGATTTAAAGCTATAATCGATTTTATGCTAGAACATTGTTTAATCGATAATAAGTATCGAAATTATTTTAGTTATCAAAAATACTGGTGTTTAATAAGTTATTACAAAATCTCATTAGATTTATTAATTTACCTAGTACAAATATTTGTGTGATGAGCACGAGTATTTGTTCTGTGTCTGGGTGTGATTTATCTATAATATGTTTAAATATATAACAAAAAAGTAGTATACTTTTTATATGTTTGTTTATCCTAATGCTCTGTACAGTTAGATTTATTGATTATAATTAATAATTTCATTTAAAAAAGGTTTATAAAAAACTATATCTTTCGACTTTTTACGTTTAAATATTTTTGAGTGTTGGCAACCCCCTATTTTGTTGTGGTGTATTGCGCTATTTTGAAGGCACTTGTTCACTGATCTTGCGACAGTTGCAACGTAATTCTTTCTTTTTGAACATTTTATCGTAACGTTAAGTTGAGTAGTCTTTTGGGGACTATCAACCTCTTTTTCATACTTTTTTTATAACGCGTAAAGTGACGTTTTATTGTAAAATAATTTTGTTCCTTTTTCTGTCTGTCAATAAAAATCCTTTGGAAAGTTTGCCTACGTATTTTCTTCTCGTGAAATATTTAATTATTTTCACAAGTCATATAGTGTTGATTTGTTACTTTGTATTGAGCAAATCGTTCTTCCGTAAGCTTTGAATATGTGCTGTACTCACTCTGTACTCATTTATTTCTACCGATTATTTGTAATCTGTGGCATAATCTTAGTAATCATTATGTGTGGCACATCACTAAGTGGGCGGTACCCGTCCATGAAGTACAATATTATTTGTATGACATTTTAACGTAAACAATACGAAATTTCATGGGCGTCGCTCTGTCAAAAAGATAATAATAGAATGGACAAACTATAGTTACAAATAAATTAGTGACCTCTTCATTACTTTTCAAACATTTCTTAGTGACTTGCATGATGTGAAAAAGGCAGGCGCTCATGTAGTAATTATAAATAAAATGCGATGAAATTAAGGATTTTTGCTGTATGATTGTGAACTGTCGTGAATGGCAATGTTATTTTTTTGAAATTCTTATACCATGCATCATATGGTGAAAATGCTGTCTGTTGAGCAAGCCCTTGGCGCGGAAAGGTTTTAAAAAAGCGAAGGAGTGAGAGCTAACTGCTACAGAATCTTCAATAGAGGTTTTAAAGCATGGGTGTAGGTCTTAGATTAAAATTAAAACAAAAAGGGAAGATACGGCACTCGCGGCTTAAAAGTGATCCGCTTAAATTGTGGTGCATGACCATAATTCGCTTTAGTAACAATTGGACATTCAAACACGCTGCATGTGCACTCAATATAACAATATTGCGTATATTCTGTGTTATACAGATAAAACAATGCCTTCAATGCTTTTATAAAGAACACAAATAGTTCAAAATCAAATAACAAATGCCTCCGCAATACTTTTCATTTGTAAAACTGTAAAAACATTTTTTTCTCAAAAATCACAGTTTGTCGTGAATGTTATTTACGTAATCGCCATTTTGTATCAAGAAAAGGACAGCACTACGCTGCAACGCAGCGTATAGTTCTGTCTCGCTCTCTCGATTGAATGTTTATATACAGACGTGTCCGTGTGTGAGAGTTGCTTATGTAGTTGAGTCGGATCATATTTTATTTGATGCTAGTATGAGCGTACCGTATCTACCCTTTTTGTTTTAATCTAAGATGTAGGTAGATAAAATCAATAATGAGCCTATTTTCGTCAGTAATAAAGTCTCGTTTCCCAACAGACATCCAGACGGCAGCTGCACGCTGCGGACCCACGTGTGCGATCAGTGCGGCAAAGCGTTCTTCCAGAAAAACCATCTGATGCTGCATCAAAGGCAACACATGGATTTACCGCCCAGAAATGTAAGAATTTTGGTATGAAAATTAGACTTTTACTCTGATACTTAGGCTGATTTATTATTTTAAGTACAATAGGGATTTAACTTACGGTCTTGGTCAGTTAACTTCTTATCATCGTTTGGACAGGGGTTTGCCAGTTAAGTACCGATTTCTAAATTCGCTAATGAACTTACCGAAATGTCAGCCTTCATAAATTTTAAGTTCATTTTTAGTATTAGACTATAGTATTGCTGTCAATTTCTTTGCTCTGTCGCGATGAGAACACGTGATCTTATAATGAATTAAAATTTGTTTAATTTTTAGTGTTAGAATAACATTTTTGGAAGAGTTATTTTAAGTTTTTTTTTCATTAGATCGATGGTATTTCTTCTTTATTTGGCATTTATTTAGTTTATTTATGTGGCAGTTTTATCCGAGTATTGAAAAGTCACCTTTAGATAATTTTGCTGCTTAACCGAAAATAGCTAACATAGTGTATAATTTTAAAAAGTACACTCTTTGTAGTCCATTCGAGAATGAGTAATTTGATGAATATAAGAGTACACATCATACAATCATATGATAATATTCTTATTCAGTAATATTTATGTATATTCCCATTATTTTTTGAACTAAATTTACTAAGTTATTAATAAACTTTTTATGTTTTATTTAAAACTAGAGACCGCACACGTCTTTATCCGCATCAACCATTTTTTAAGTATCTCTCAGGATAACATTTTTCGTCATCCATAAAGTACGTAACACTACTTTCGTGATTTTTTTTACCCCTCCCCTGTCCTTGTCACAGTTAATCACATTTACGAGTCGTCCCACTCCTCCCTAGTGTGACGTCACATATTTTCTATTTTGCATCTAGAAATTATTAAATTAAAACAGCAGTATTGAAATTTGTTCTGAAAATCAGCCAACAAAACAAATGAAAACGCATACAGTTAAGAGTTCTAAATACCTATTTTAAAGGTTTTTTATATTAGTTCAAAGGTTTGATTTTTAAATGTGACGTCACGAAACTTAGGACCCCTCCCCCACCCCTTTTAACCCAATGTCACACTTCGTCGAACCCCTTCCTCCCCTTTAACGTGTGACCTGCTTTATGGATAGTCATCCTTAAATGTATCCTATGTATCAATCCAGGTCACAAGCTATATGCGTATCAAATTTTAACCAAATCCGTTTAGTAGTTTTTTGGTGATTCGGTAACAAGTATACAAACTGTCACATTTATGATATTAGTGGGATATAAGAATGAATAATAATTTAAACTTTTCTCTTCTACATAATTTTCAGCAAGCGAATCAACAAGCGCAACAAGCTGCCCAACAGGCGGCGCAACAGGCAGCGCAACAGGTTCAACAACAAGTTCAACAGCAACAACAACAACAACAACAGCAGCAGCAGCAGCAACAACAACAACAGCATCATCAGAATACGATTGAGATAGAGCACCAACCACAAGAACAGCCTACGCATATACAAGTGGTGAGGGATTTTGTATCTTAATGTGAAAATTGTATATTCAGAAAAATATAAAGGTGGCATGATCCTCTAAACCCAAAATTCAATTTGACAACAGTGTATCCTTGTCATTTTCTATGCAGAATGCAAAGAAGAGAATGAGATGTTAAATTTAGAATTGACACTATTGTAATCCTAAATAAACATCTTACAGTGAATTAATTTTCATTGTCTTCGAAGGCAGACGAGCGCACGGGCCATCTGTAGACCTACAAATTCACATTTTTAATCGAACATTTTTTTTGGACTACTTATTCTGTGACTTGTTAAATAATTTTTATTCAATTCTTTGACATAGTATTAATTAATTTGTTAAAAAAACTTATGTAGCATTCCACGGTTTATAGCTGAATAGGTGAAACCTACAGTATGGTTATGTGTACCTATTTGTGACCTTGATTACCCTGTTCAAACACAAATAAATAATTATTCTATTCTACTGCTTTTGACAGATGGAAGTGATGATCACCGAGCTATTTAGTGATCCACTACTGCTTTATTATTACGCCGCTAAGAGATACTTGGTCTAATAAGCATCGACGGATGTGGAATTTTCCCTCTAGTTACACACTGTAAATGTCAAACAAGTTTGCCAATAGCCCGGCTCATGTTTAGTGTTCACCTTCGCCAATGGACTTTGGCCATGTTAATGCACAGCCATGCCACTGTCTTCGTGGAAATAAATGAAACAAAAGTGTTGAATAAAATAATAGAATTGACGTATTGTAACTAGGCCATAGAATTGCGGTACATCCTTCAAAGGTGGAAAACAACCTTGGCTCAGGCCTGCTATGAGGTTACAGTAACTTATTACTGAATAAAACTTACTGTTATTGTAATAACTAGAACCTTATTAATATGCTGTCTGTTTTGCCATCTATCACAGGGATTTATCTTTATCTCTAGAACGGAAATCGGTAGACGAAAACCCCCTAATTAATAAGCGAAAAATAAGCTAAGATTAGTTACTCTATGTTTTCTCTCTATTCATTGAATGACAAATGGAATTTGTGTGATACAAACAAAACACGGTGTAAGTAGTCTTATCTTATTCCTCGTGTATTAATAAGGCGGACGGAGTTTCTGACATTTATTTGGTTTTAATTTATTTTAATTACATTCTTATAGAGATTTGACTTTAATATGGTTTTATTTTATATTAATCACATATGCATGCTGAACATTAAGTCCAGCCTCCCTAGCATGAGCAGAGCGAAATGATATATAACTCGTTTTTATCACCGTCAAATTGACAAATTACTATGGAGTTTGACAGTTAGGTGCGATTATCACCCTTACCATAAGGCACTGGCTGAAAATCAACGCTACTGTGGTATCGCGAAAGCGACTGCCACAGAGCATAGCTGAGCCAGTGAGCACGGCACGCACTACGACCTAGTATTTAGTGCTCTTTTTTTTTTATTGTCTATGTTTTATTTCATGTACCGTTCTGTTTCACTTATTTCATGTTGTAAGGGCCAATAAACTGTTTTTCTTTCTTTCGATATAAAACGTGATATAATGTAAATCGGGGTGCTCATGCTATGGGGACAGCTTTACTCAACTTGATGTTTAGTATGCACAATAAAATTCTCAACATTTATCTTTTCTCATAACTAGGTGACAGATCGATCGGGTCAAGTGATAGGCAACCAAATACTAGTGGGCTCCGTTGGTGGAGTGAATGTAGCCAGAAGACTCGTCGGCTCACAATTACACATTATACGGCCTCAAGACAACAAGAACATATTACAACACAAACATACGAGGCATCACACCGGGTAAGGTTAACGTTGTAGTAATAGACCACTATAGGTAGACTGCTTAATTAAGTTCTGGCGGCCAATCGCCTAACGGAAATGCTTTGGAAAACGCTAACGCTTACGATTCTATTTTGTTATTTCTAGCCGCCTGAGGTATTCAAATGCCTCGCGCTCTTTCTTTTTCTTTTGCATTGGTAATAACAATATTAAAAAAATGAGCGTGAGGTATTCGAAAACCTCAGGCGGCTAGAAATAACAATATAAAAACGTAAGCGTTAGCGTTTCCCAAAGCATTTCCGTTAGGCGATTGGCCCCCTGGCCTGCGGGGTACAGGGTGTGGGGGAGGACGAGAAAAGGGGCGGTGCAGTTTACTATGCTTATATTGCACTAACTACTATAGAGGAGCTCGATGGCGCGGGTGGTTATCGCGTTCAGCTGCGATCGTTGAAGTTAAGCAACTTTCCCAGTGGTCGGTCATTGGATGGGTGACCAAAAATCTTCTATCTCGAGTTCCTCCGTGCTTCGGAAGGCACGTTAAGCCGTTGATCCCGGCTGCATGTGCAGTCGTTAGCACCCGCCAATCCGCACTGGGCCCGCGGGGTGGGTCATGGCAAAATCTCCCTATTCCATCCATAGGGAAGACCTGTGCCCCAGCAGTGGGGACATTAATAGGCTGATGATGATATTGATTGCACGAATAATTATGATTCAAAAGATTATTATCTTCCAATTTGAATAAAGATTTTTTTTATAGCCAGGTAGGCAAATGACTCTACCCCACCTGATGTTAAGTGGTGATAAGGTCCATACGCGAAGGTAGCTGTGCAGCAGTTATAAACTGCCATACTAACCATCCTCACCTTGCCGGCCTGAAAAAATGCTTCTTCACGCATCTCTTAAAGAACCCCAGATTGTAGGAAGGAGGTAACACGTGCGCGGGCAAATAATTACACTTATGAATAGTACGACAAAGAAATGAGTCACCAAATTTCTTTGTTCGTGTAGGAATAGTTGCCACCATAAGTCGGTGGCAACGTAGGTCAGCGCGCGTGTTCCTCTGAAGAAAAGATGATGGAGGGATAAGGTAGAATAACTCCTCAGATTTTAACTTACACTTTAAACTGGGTTAACCTTAAGTCTATGTTTTATACTCAGGCGCTTTGTTAATTCCTAATATAATAATTAACTTTTAATGTAATTTCGTAACGAGCCGTAAACAATCAATCATTAGAATGATTATTGGGGTTGTACCATTTTTGCTACACCTGTCTATTTCCTTATACACTTTGTCATTCTTACGTATTTACTATTTTGTGCTTCAGTAACAACAATTTCTATTTAAGTCGAAAAGCAACACCATTGCTGCATGATATGGTCATTGCTTTAACTTGACATTTTGGAAACAAAGAATCTGATATTGTCCATTATATTTATTAAATACCTATTTTCTCATTCACTATTAAATGTGTGTTTCCCTCACAGACTTTTAGCCCTTAAGTCTGTTGCTACATAAATGTTAAGTTTTAGAAGAAAATCTAATATATAAAATTCTTGTGTCACAGTGTGCGTAATTAAGCTACTCCAAAACGGCTCGACCTATTTTCGTGAAATTTTATATGCATATTTAGTAGGTCTGAAAATCTGACAACTTCTATTTTAACTTCTACCACCAACCCGTTTTTTATGGCGGTACGAAGTTCTCTGGGACAGCTAGTAAATAAATAAAATTGTTATTTTATTCTTTATTTTTTCCCCAGTGGTGACGTGAAAGAAGTGGGTGGACTGGTTCTCTCCACGGGCCGGGGGACGGGACTTATAAAGTACGAAATATCTATCCCTCAGCCAACGTCCGTCGTTCAAGTGCAGCAGTTAGATTGAAACGCAGACAAACCTAACTCTTATTTACACTAGCGTACGGCACAAAATCACGTAACATTGCTAATAAAATTAGAGCATCAGAAGATTAAAATCTTACAGGTGCAGAGGTTACACAGAATCCACGCCGACAAATAAAGCTCTTATTTACAATAGCATACGCCACAAAATGTCGTAGAAGAAATAAACAATCTGCTATTCCAAAAATTAAAGAGGTCTTGCAAGGGCAGCAGTTAGACTGAACCCATACCGACAATTTAGTTCTTATTTACACTATTTATGTATATGGCACAAAATGTCGTTGAAGAAATAAAGTATATGCTATTTAAGAGATTAAAGAAGTCTTACAAGTGCAGAATTGAAATTGAATACACACCGACAATTTAGCTCTTATTTACACTGGCATACGGCACAAAAAGCCGTAACATTGCTATGAACCGTAAGAAAACGGAGCAGAAGAATTAAACAGAATCTGCGACTCAGGAGATTTAATTTGCACTGCAGTTGATCTACGCCGACAAACCTAAGTCTTATTTACAATACGGTGGAAAAGACGAGAAAATCAATTTCAAAGAACTCCATAGAGCCAAAAGAAATAGGAACTGCCGATTGAGAAGATCAATCAATCAAATCAATAATCTGATTGTAATCAAGCCAAAAAGCCTGGCTCTTATTGCTCCTAGCACACAGCACAAAATAAAGTCGAATGAAACAGGAACCGCGATTGAAAATTGAATTTGAATGTGAAATCATTCCTAAACACATCTGTAATAAAAGGTTTGAGTTTCCAATAATTCAAAGAGATTTGAGTCGAAAATACCTCTTATAAGGTAGTAAAATTCTATCGACAACGTTTATCAGAAAATCACATATAACTCGCGCAGTTGAGAATACATTTGTCCAAATTACAACATAATCCGTGTTGACTTTAAGGCATTATACTTACACAGTAAAGAATTCGCAATTAATAGTATTCCATTTCACAGTAAATGATTAGTTGCCACAAAGTTATATTAGAAATATCTTATTAAACAACGTTAAGTGCAAAAAAATTTGTTGTTAGCTTAGCTAAGCTACAGTCGAAAATAATAGGTCTAAACAATAGCAAGTCATTATCTGATAATGACATATGCCTACGTGTAAAATTATAAATCGAAAATTTTGAACATCATTGGGCGGGCATATAAATTTTGTAACTGTATGCTTATTCCTACATACTGTATTGTTTCCTACATAATTATCACGAAAAGTTTACTGAATGAAATGATATGAAAAAAAAAACGATGTTTACTTAGGACCTATTGTGTTTCGTCCCCTTATTCTCTGTAACTTTTCATAGACATCTCAATCGGTAGCGAATAAGTGGACAGGCTAGTGACAATATGTGATACAATTAAAATTTGTTTCAAAGTAACGTCGTAAATAATCTATAGCCCTATTAATAAACGAAGACTAAGCTTGGACTAGTTACGCCATGTTTTGTTCATATCACTCAAATGCCATTTGTCATTTATTGAACAGAGACAAAACATGGAGTTACTAATCCAAGCTTATTCTTTGTTTATTAATAAGGGGGTTAATGTTTAAAATTTTAGATTACAGATAAATCGAATAACAAAGCAATAAAATATCTTAAGATATCGTTTTGTCGGTGTGTGTGTATGGACTCGTGGATTGGAATGTTGTACCATAATGTGAATAGTGTTGTGAAATAAAGAAGGAGCCTGTGTAAGGAACATTCAAGCTTTCGTTATTGGTCTAAATATTGGAAGTGATCGTCCAATAATGGCCAATATTATTCGCACACATAACAGTGAGAAATGAAATTGTCAGATCAGCTATAGAATGGAGAGCCTTGTTTGTTTGTATAATTGTCTCAGTGACAGCCTTACGTTAGAAGCCTTAATCTTGAAATTGTCTATTACGATCGCGTTACGCTTATAACTACTTAATTTCTCGATGGCAATAAATGAGTGACGCATACGTGTATTATAGTAATATTATAAATGGATGTTCTAAGATTTAGAACATGTGGTGATTGTGTTTGTAAAAAGACATGATACAATGTTTCTATGTAAAATAGTTTAGTTAAGGGATAAAGTAAAAATGTTTAGAGTTAGATATAAAACTGTTTGTACATATCAATACGTTTTTGTAAGGACACCGTGTTGCGGTTTTTGTAATTATACATTGTGTACAATCTCTCTAGGTACTATCGCATTTAATTTCATTATTTTGTTTTTTGTTTTAATTGTGTATTTTAAAGGCCTCTTTAGGGTTTCAATTAAGTACATGAAAGATATTATTTACGCCTATAATAGTAATGGCAGGTATAGTGTTATGTGCAATTGGTACGTCGAGTTTTTGATGATGAAAAATATAGTAGATCTGATTATCTGAAGAATATTATGTATCCAATGATACTGTTGACCCGTCTGGAAATGAGATGGTTAAACTATGTTATATCAAAATTATATTTATCTGACAATCAACTTATATTTTATTGATATATGACAACTACAAAAAATGATAGTCTTAGATCCGAGCCTACATCGACCTTCACCGAGCTGATAATAGAATGAAACATATGTTATCATGAATTTAGTATATTAGGAAATATATTAAAAATGGGTTGCCTAAAAATCCAGACAGACAATTTATAATTAATTTAAAAAATATTTTTTTAATTAAATGTTGCAACATTTTCTTATTATCTTGTGATAAGAAAATGTTGTCCTGACTTACAATATAAAACGTATAAAATGTGCAGCCATTGGGGTTTCTAATATTTACCTGGACGAACTACTGCGTTGCCAGGTATAAATAGGTATGTCGATGCTAGTTACGTTACCCAACAGCTGCACATGCTATACGTTTTATACTTTAAGTTAGGACAACACCTTATTGTTGCAACATTTATTTTTATAATTAACTAGAAATAGTCTGTCCAGGATTTTTTAGGCAACCCATTTTTAAAATATTTTCTAATATACTAAATTTATAATAAAATATGTTTCATTTTATTATCAGTTCGGTGAAGGTCGATCTAGGTTCGGATCTTCTACTAAGAGCATGTGTTGGTTACTTTTTGATACGTTATAGGTTTAAAATTTGTGAAGTTTCCTTCCTTCTGTTCATCTAGTCTGTGATAGGAAAGATATATTTCTATCTTGGAAGGGTATGGTGTATGTAAAACTTGTATGTTGAATTCACGAAACAGTGTTCATAATTAACTTCTATAATTATTAATTGTAATCTTTTAAATGCACTCATTTGAAATATGTGATTGTTCTATTTACATAATGTAACAAAGCAATATAAGGATCAACACAGTGTTTAAAAAACATTAATCAAAACGGCTTTAGGTTCAAAGAGTCACTTTACAAACAAGTGTTAACTTTTAGGCAGTTTGTTAATTTATCACATGAAGTTAATTGTGAATAAAGAATGAGAAAAGAAATTGTGTAGCCTTACTATAAATTTTAAAGCATGGTCCAAAATTAGTAATATTAAATGTTTCATGTTTAATATTTAAAGTAAGGCTCGTGCATTAATCCTGGTAAAATAAATCACGTCACAGTTTTATCCTTTTATATTCCGTTAATACCTATAAATGTTATGGATATGTATGTAACGGGTAAAATAAAAGTCTACATCATCAAAACTGTATTTAACGTGCTTTAATTATCAGGACTGTGGTCGTGTTTTCCAGATAGAATTATATTTGAAATTGGTATTTTGTTTAGATGGGCCTGATAGATGGATGTCTAGAAGAAGTGCCTCGTCATTTTCGTAAAATATACATTGAAAGTCTCAAGTTTTTTTTATTGAATGGGGAATGATTTATTATACTATTATCTTCATCGCGTTGGATACCTACACAAGTCATTAATAGTCTAAATGAAGTAATAAAATTTTGGGGCATCCATTCATAGCTTTCCTAATAAATGGTTCCATGTCATTGTCCAAATGTTTTTGGATAATTATGTTTGTTTTATATAAGATAGTTCAGATTGGTATGAGCACGGAAAGGTTGATTGAAAAGTAGCAAAACTGCACTTCAGCGATCGAAGGGGTTGTTTATTGAACCTATTTTTGTGATTCGTAACCGTTCAATAAACACACTGGGTATATTCCGTAATATATACCAGTATACTGGCCAGTGCTACTGACGTCATGAATCGACGCTATACTGGTGAATTGTTCCGAAATATAATGGCCAGTGCACTGACGTCATAAATCGACAAAATATTAAAAATAGGGCGAATAAAGAAGATTTATTATTCACCTCATTAATTAAACCTACTTTTTGTTCGGATGGCATAATTGTTCTTTAAATAAAAAAGAAATAAAATTCGAATGCATCTCACGCGCGCTCGGTCATAGCATCTAATAGTCTGTGGTCATACGTCATATTCGTTTTCCCGGTAAAAATATGTTAGCATACCAGTACAATATGGCGTCGGGTTCGTGACGTCATTACCACTGGCCAGTATACTTATGTATATTTCGAAATACACCAACTATCTTACTGTCGTTTCTCAGAGAGTAATTGTTAGTATTATGTCGGCACTTCACTTAGCTATTCGTATTTCCTATTTGTAAACTTGACAACTGTGTGTCCTTATCATGCTATATGAGGAATGGAAAGGACAGACTTGACAAATAGCAAACACAATTAGCTAAGTGAGGTGAGCTGGGGCATTTAGCCTGGCGGTGGTGGCGAATGAGACCTTTGATGTTGATGTGAAACTGTAAAATCAACTTTATTTGCGTAACCATACGATACATACACTCAACTATGCCACAAAACATTTGAGATGTGTTACTATTTTATTATTATGAAACAAGTCTCTTAGTAACTGTCTATAGCTCCGCAGAAACTCAAATTTATTTGATATTAATTAGATTGTGCCCGTGTACAGATTTCAGTTAATTATTAAGTTTGAAAATACCTTGTAGGTACTTTCGCGTTTTTGAGAGAGTAATTAAATGAGACAAAAAGTCACTTGCACAACATTCAATTTAATTGACGTCTCTCATGACTGTCATTTTATCTCTTAGGATATAATTTTATTTTACTACAAGTAATCCTATTATTAACCTCTGATCTTATTTCTGACCTTATTATTATTAAATAAGTCTGTCACTCTTGGGCCCGTCTAAACTAGGTGTATAAATTAAACAAAGGAAATGACTTAGTATACAGTATTAAAATTTGGCAATAGTGAAAAGGTGACCAGTTGGTAATTTTACGTTATAAAATATATTGTTTCCTTACGTTGGATCTTGTTTGCCATTTACTTACATGT